TTGCTGAAGAAGTTCGGCTGGAAAAGAGGTATCTGACGAAAAGAGACCTAACTCTGGAGATATCTAAATCCAAATTTTAAAGGGACAGTGAAGCCGAGACATTGTTCCTGATTTTACCAGCAGTACGTATCGATACTATTGACTTGATTACGGTAGCTCCTGGCTTCGAAGAAATTGCAATAGATGTGGTTATGGAAAACGAGTTAGCTTTGGTTCTGCTTTTTCTACTTTTTTAAGGGACGAGCAAGTCAGAGGCCAAGAATTGTGGCTTCCGGAAGTACGAATCGATACTATCGACTTGGCTACGGTAGCGCCAAGCCTTGAAGAAGTTTCGATAGATGTCATAATGGAAAATGAGTAGGATTTGTTCTGCTTTTTCTACTTTTTAAAGGGACGAGCAAGTCAGAGGCCAAGAATTGTGGCTTCCGGATGTACGAATCGATACTATCGACTTGGCTACGGTAGCTCCAGGATTGACAGAAGTTGCTCAAGAAGCTGAGCTAGTAAAGAGGTTACCTTAACTAACGATATTTTTAAACTCGCAATTTAAAGGGACGGCGAAGCCGAGAACTTGTCCCTGATCTTACCCGCAGTACGGATCGATACTATTGACATGGTTACGGTAGCGCCAAGCCACGAAGATGTTTCAATAAATCTGGTGATGGAAAATGAGTTAGCTTTGGTTCTGCTTTTTCTACTTTTTTTCTACTTAAGGGACGAGCAAGTCAGAGGCCAAGAATTGTGGCTTCCGGAAGTACAACGCGATACTATTGACCTGGCTACGGTAGCTCCAAGATTTGAAGAAGTTGCTGAAGAAGTTCGGCTCGAAAAGAGGTTCCCTTAACTAATGATATTTTTAAACTTGCAATTTAAAGGGACAATGAAGCCGAGAAGTTGTCCCTGATGTTACCCGCAGTACGGATCGATACTATTGACATGGTTACGGTAGCGCCAAGCCACGAAGATGTTTCAATAAATGTGGTGATGGAAAATGAGTAGGATCTGTTCTGCTTTTGCTACTTTTTAAGGGATGTGCAATTTGGAGGGAAAGAATTGTGGCTTCCGGATGTACGAATCGATACTATCGACTTGGCTACGGTAGCTCCAGGATTGAAAGAAGTTACTCAAGAAGCTGAGCTAGTAAAGAGGTTACCTTAACTAACGGTATTTTTAAATTTGCATTTTAAAGGGACAATGAAGCCAAGAGTCCCTCCATTGTTTTGCCCGCAGTACTAATCGATACTATTGACATGGTTACGGTAGCGCCAAGCCACGAAGATTTTTCAATCGATGTGGTGATGGAAAATGAGTAGGATCTGTTCTGCTTTTGCTACTTTTTAAGGGATGTGCAATTTGGAGGGAAAGAATTGTGGCTTCCGGAAGTACGAATCGATACTATCGACGTGGCTACGATAGCGCCCGGATTTGAAGAAATTTCTCGAGAAGTCAGGCTCGAGAAGAGGTTATCCTAACCGACATTAAAATGATAAATTCGCCTTAAAGAAACAACGAAGCCGAAAAATATTCCGCAGTTTGGCCTGAAGTACGCATCACTAATATCGACTTTACGACAGTACCACCAAGATTTGCAAATATCTCTCTCCTCGCTGATTATGCCAACGGGTTTGTCAATTTTTATGCAAAGTGGTGAGCTAATTTTAAAGGTATATTGAAGCGGATGAGGCAATCGTAGAAATACCGATAGTACGGATCGATACTATCGACATAACGACGATAGCTCCGAGGTTAAAACCACTGGAAGTGTCAGTAGTAGTGGAAACGGAAAAGGGGTAGGTAGGCTTAGGCTTGGGCTTAGGCTTGGGCTTAGGCTTAGGCTTAAGCTTAGGTTAAGGGTTAAGCTTAGGTTTCGGCTTGGCTTCGGCTTGGCTTTGGCTTGGCTGAGGCTACCAACTTAATAAGCTCTATACCAATTTCAGTCAAAACTGGCTCGCCACCCCATATACGATACGCTCGTCCGCCCAATTCGGCAGAGCCGAGCTTGATGAACCCAGTTTTGAAGAAATCAACGAACAATTTGAAGTTTTCCAAGCCCAAGAGAGGTTTTTAAAAACTCATTTGCATATGTGGATTAAGCGAGCCGCTCCAAATCCTTGAGATCATCCCCGGAAAGTGGTTGGACAGGATCCGGACTACCTTACTTGAACCTGAACTCCTTGAACTTGAACTAGACGTTGAGATTGAGAACATGGGGTAAGAGACCCGATTGAGAATCTTTTAAACATCTATTTAAATTTTTCCGCCTTTAAATAGAATTTTTAGTGATTTAAACAAAGCGGAAACGGTGAAAAGTTGGCCGGAAATCGCTATTATCTTTGAATCTTTGAAAGCTCTTGCTCCAAGGCTTGAGCCTGAAGAAATTACGATAGTTGTCGAGACGGAGAAGAGGTTTTATTGAGCATAAATTATACTTAAGATTTTCTAATTGTTCAGCGAGAATTGGCTGGACATCCCGTATTTCTTGAGCAACACCGAGCGAGTTCGAGCTGGGATTTTTGCTCCACAATATGCAAAAATATCGATTGATGCTATTTTCGAGACTGGAGAAAGGTAACAGAACTATAAAAACACTTTTACCGTACATTCAGACAAGATTCCATCATCGCTACGATACACTACCCCGAACGCCTAGCGGTCGAGCCAGAATTAGAACAACTACTCCCCTCCCTCGAGCAAACCATCGCCATGCTCGAAGCCATGTCCCGGGATGAAAGGTGGGTCTCCAAGCTACGTACGACCTCCGTACGTTCCCGTCCGTACGTTGCCCCTCCCTTTTTCAGCAGCCGCCATGTTGAAGCCGTCCAGCCGATCAACGAAGGCTCAGCCGCCTCGGCCCGCTTTCCCAGCTTCAGCCGCCAGCTTGTCGACGCTCATTTTCGGCTTTCCGCCTCGGAGGAGGGGCGCGCTGTGCTGTGCGCCTGGCGCGGGCGAGGGCGCGCTGTCGTGCTGGCGCGCCGCGTGGGGCAGCGCGTGCGCGCGGTCTTGAGAGGCGCCCTGCCGGTCCGGGGCGGTGAAGCCTGAGCGCTGAGCTTGAGCTGAGAATCGAGCTTAGCTTTGGTTAAGCTTGGGCTACGCTTAAGCTAGTGAAAGTTTGAGCTTGCAAAATGGTCTTAAAAGTAAAAAAGTACTCTCGCTCTCTCTCGCTCTCTCTCCCTCTCCCTCTCTCTCTCTCTCTCTCTCTCTCTCTCTCTCTCTCTCTCTCTCTGCAGCTAAACTATCCTAAAAACGCGAAAATACTCAAAATGAGGTCGTAATAACTTTAATATCCCAATCCCTATCCCTCTCTCACTCTCTCTCTCTCGCGCTCACTCTCTCTCTCTCTCTCTCTCTCTCTCTCTCTCTCTAAATTACGCTCTTTCTGGCCCGTTTCCAGCCAACAGTTGACGCACAACATGATGAATTCGCTCGCCTCGGCTTCTCCCTCCAATGAATCACCGCCAGAAAACACCTTCTTCCGCTTCTATGTGCTTCTACAGCTTCCACCTGGCAAAACCTTGTCACCACTGCCCTCTTCGAGTAAATCGTGCTACCACTACCGTACCCCTATCACACCAGGATCCACAGTGCAACAGCTTCCACAAACAAACAGTCCTCGTCTTTACCCTATCACTCGCTTTTTCCGTTTATATTTGTATTTCTAGACTTTTTCGATAATAATCTAATTCCCCAATAATTCCAGCGCGATGACCGCCTCGCCGCTGCCGGGCAGCCAGCAGCAGCAGCAGAGCAGCCAGTCATCTTACCAGTGGCGCACCGAGACCACCCGCTCCAGCACGCAGCCCACCGGGGGTCGGTTTTTGCAAGAATTTGGCTTTTTATCGATTTGAAATATACGTTTTAGATCGTAATGACTCAAGTCAGAATCGAACCTAAGTCTAGAATACTAAATAATAAAACTAGTAAATTTTAAAAACGCTAAGAAAATTCACGTTAAAATATCCTTATCCTAACTGTCGTTTGCGCAAAAATAACTGACTTAAGAAATTTAGTTTGTATCGATATCAAATATAAGTTTTCGAGCGTAGTGAATGAAACCAGAATTGTTCTAGTTAGTTCCTAATTCTAGAATACAAAAAACCCCAGGTGAAACCCTATAAAAAGTCGAAATTACTTTAAAAACGCTACGCCACTTCACCTTAAAATATTTTAAACTCTAAATTTGCGCAAAACATTGCTAACGTCCTTTTTAAACCTCTTTAACGCATTTTCTTTAAAATAAAACAACTTATCAAAATATCAAAAAGTTATAAAGCCGCTAAAAAGCGCTGATTCAGAATACTGGCTAGCAAGTGCGTCGGGCGTATTCTTTTAATTTCTAAATTTTCGCAAAGAATCCTCGTTATTTCAGAATATAATTAGAACTAGGACTAAACTATGACAAACTAGTACATCTAAAAAACGGTCACTTTTCAGAAACGTGGCGCACCGAGACCGTTCGCACCAACAACGAGCCGCCGCAGCAATGTAAGCCATTTTATTTAGTTAACGTAGCCAAATTCATCTCAATTCTCTATTTTTAAAACCTAAAAACCAACTTCAGACACGACTTCGTGGCGTACGGACGGTCACGGCACCCCGGCCACCACCGGGCAGACGTCGTGGCGCACCGAGAAGCGCACCACCACCACCACCGAGCGCCAGACGATCCCCATTCAGCGTAAGGGTTTTTGATTAGGCTTCTCAGTTGAGCCCTGAAACCTTGTAAATAAAAATCCACAGCTAAAATACGTTTAGAAACCTATACAACATCTCGCGACCAGTCCCGTGAGTGGCAGCGCGATTCGCAGCGCGTGCTCGAGACGCCGACGAATCGCCCGGGGAGTCGTGCCGGTTAGTTTCTTCCTAAAGAACCGAAAATCCCCCCACTGTCTAGATTCTGCCGCCTCGTTCCAGTATGCTCGTGGGGATAAAATCAACCCCGGAGATCGTAAGTTCTAAAAGTATAATGAAAACTAACGATTTTGATAAAAAATCGTTAATCTTTATCCCAGTAAACCCTAAATTTAGAGCGCGTCTACCAGCTGACCCGCCCGGACTCGAGGGCCAGTGTGACGGCGTCGGATCGTAAGCGCCCCCAGGAAAATCAGGCTAAACAAATTCAGACGGCTCCGTGGTGAACGACACGCTGCACGCGCTGGTGTCTGACGTCGAGCAGACGACCGAGCTGATCCGCAGAAAGCAGCAGCAGATGCGCTCCGAGCGGCGCCAGTTCCAGACCGAGATGGAGGTGGGGCTTTTAGGGCCAAACATCATCAAGCAAGGGTCATAAACAATAAAAAATATCCGTTCAGGTCACCGGTCGCATCTCAATTTCTCCCACCGACGATTGGCTGAACGCGCGGCTGAAGGCCGTTTCTACCGACGACCTCAAGCGTGACCTCAACAAGATCAAGGACGATCAACGTGAGTTCTTTTGGAAATCATTGGTTGAATAGAATTCAAAGAAATTAAATTAATGAAAATATTTTATGGAAAAACCGGCGGACAAATGAATCTAGTCTCATAACACTGAATTTGAGATATTGTTAGGGGGGACAAGTGTATAGGAACCATCGAACTTGACCAAAACTGAACCGGGGAGACGGGGACGGGGCATAAGAGCGGGGTGAGCAGCTGGTGGCTCCGACTCGTGCATGTGTGCGTTAATAGTATAATGGGAACAACGGAATGTGGGGGTGGAAAGGACGAGGTAGAGGAGGCGGATGTGATGGCTGAAGAATCATCGCGACTGGCTGTTCCACATCAGCAGGTCCTTGATGGCACGGTTGAGCAGCGTGATCCAGGCGGTCATCATCTCCTTGTGGTCGGCGGCCATCAGCACGCTGCAAAGCGGAATGTAAAGCCGTTTATGAAAGAAGCAACTTGGTGCTTTTAAAAGTCTAAAAATATGAAAATCGAATACTGCGCTTAACGATCAGCAAAGAAAAGGCAAATAGAAACAACGTAAAACATGCATTTTATTTCTATTAGCAAAATTTGATCCTAAGGCAAACCCAGTTTTCCCAAAAACGCAAAAAATTACCGCAGTATCTCCATCTCGCGGCTCGTTCCCTCCTTGGGCACCCAGACATTGATGTGGAACGATGACGGGTAGGTGCCATGCGGTTCCGGGACCGCGCCCTCGCCACTGCACGTCGACAGGTCGATCACACAGCGGCAATTCTGAAACGCCGAATTACCTGGCCACCCCGAGATACGAACCTTTGAGTTCTCCTCCTCCGGGTTGCGCCAGAACTTCATCTCGCCGCCTTCGAGCACGCACCAATACCTAGGAGAAGATCATTGCAAGGAAAAAAGTGATGCATACCTCGACCACGCGGCAAGCCCTTGCGACGTTTGGTGGAGCGAGAGGAAGCCACGGTGCACCACGTCACACTTGTCAATGGCGTATCTTAACGTGGATTTTGATGAAACGCGTGAGGAAACGGCTCACTTCTTGACACGCATCGTCAGGTCGCCTTGAACCGGATGGTTCACGTTTTCCAATCGGTACTTGCTGCGCTCGACGGTTTTGATGTTGATCTGCAGGCTACCAACTAAACAAAGGGTCAATCGAAGCCTCTTGACGGACATACCTGACTCAAATCCGGCTTCAACGGTCCGAAGGCTTGCCGTTCTTGAGGCAGAGCGGCGCCCGGGAGATCGTGACTTGTTGTAGGAGGTGTGCAAGCCTTTGAACGTGCCGCCCTTGCTGCGATATTTCTCTTCGGGACCGCAGGCCTCTTTTCTCGAGCGCTAAAAGGATAATGCCTCAAATCTTCTGTGAACGCATACCAGAGCGAACACCTCCACGGTGCACAGAAAGTCGGGGCGCAGGTTCTTGATGGTGAAGCAGTTCGGGAAGGCGACAATTCCATTCTAAATCCATATATCCAAAACCTCGGATAAAAAGATACCGACCGAGTACATGGCGTCCTCCGATGAGACGACGTTCGTGTGCAGCACCGTCGCGCCGCACTTGATGATGACGATGAAATGGTAGACGAGATCGATGTCTGCAACAAGTTCAGAAGGCTCAAGCAAAATCGGTTACCATTTCCGTATGCGGTCAGGCCGTTGATAAATTCGCGTGATAGTGGGAAGGAGATGTTGGACAGGCTGATGCCGCCGCGAGGCCCATCAATGTGCGACGAGTTGTCGACACGATTCAGCTCGCACATCAGCGCCGATTTCTTCTCCTGGGCGGTGAGGAGGGCCCGCTGGGCGTCCACCTCTTCCGGGCTGCCCGCAAATTTCGGCATTTCACGGCAGCACTCGAGGGCTCGCTGGGCTTGGTGGATGTGTTCGTCGGCAACGTTCAGATCACGTTCCAAGCGATTCTAAAAAAATGAAATTGTTTCTTACGCGTTAAACAGGAGAGAAAAGCCATTTTTCCAGAAAACTTACGATCAAATCAGTGCGCTCCTCGGTGATCGTCAAAAGTGGAAGCTGAGGCCGCGCTTGAGTTGCAGCCCCGGCAAAAACGATGCGTTCGACCTTGTCGTCGGCATTCGACTCTTGGTTCTTGCGGTAGAATGATATCGAGTGCGCCTAAAAAACAGCAATGATCAAGAAGCGACAAAACCGACGAGATTTGTCTCAGGGTCAGCAGAAGTTGGCGGCGAGCGGCTCGTCGTCGAAGTGGCGGTCTTGACCGGGGATAACTAAAAAAATCGTTCGTCAGAAAACGACATCAAAAACCTTAGAACTAGTAGAGGTGGTCGGCCCCTTGACCGGGCTCGGGAACGAGAGTTTGCGAGCTGCGCGGCGCCTTTCTTCGCCTTCATGTGATTGCTTATTAGTCTAGAACCGAACATATTGAAAAATAATGGTTGCAATACCTCCTCAAGAGAACGCACACGTTCGGCCTCATCTCGATGCGAGCGGAAAGTGCTGTCAAAGTCGCACTCCTCAAACACCTCAGACTCCTTAACCGAGGTCTCAAGCACATCCTAAAATTAAGAACCTAAAAAATCGCAATGGGAAAAATACCGGCTTGAAGGAGCGGTAGCGAAGATGCGGCGAAGTTACAGGTGGCGGCGATTTGAGACCGAGCGGTGAGCGAAGAGCATCAGACTTCCAGGACCTCGTTGAGGAGACAGTGCGTTCGGCTGAGCCCCCGGCGCCAAAGTTAGGGTGGGGCAGACGGAGTACGTGTGGCAACTACAAAAATAATCTTGGAAAAATGTCGAAGTATACCTTTGCCGCCGTGGTCTTGGTTGCGGGCAATGTCTTTTCGGAAGAAAGGGCGGCCAACTTGCGCAACTCTTCCTCGCTGGCATCCGGGTGAAGCGGAGTGCCCGTTGATGAGGCGAGCTAAAGAGAGAAGAATGAAAGACGAAAAAAACGGTTCTTTAGTATCTCCGGGAGGATTTTCTTTCAATCCTGAATTGTCTAACAGAAATAGCCCGCGTTTCTAAACTCTTGTTTACTATTCATAAACGTAAAAAATCTATTAAAAAAAACACAAAAGATCTTTCGACTAAAACTTCAAAACTTGAAACTGTTTTAAAGTTTTCTAAAGAGTTTCCCGCGTTTAATTTGACTATATTTTACTAGAACGACTCTTAAAGGGGCTCCGAACTGCCAAATCAAAGCCCTTTTGGGAGGCCTCTTTGATTTCTGGCAAATTGCCAGCGGGCGCTGCGGGACGAGAGCCCTCACTCTTTCGATTTTTGCGCGAAGTTGTTTTTGGCCGGTTTCTTTGTGAAAACAATATAATTCGCACATTCTACGCCCATTTTTGAAATCCTCACTCAATTTTGAATAGTTTTGGTGTTTTAATCATCCAATTTGGCCCAGAAACAGCCGAGAACGTGATTTCGAGGTGACAACAGGCCATTTCAAATTTGCGAGCTTCCCGCGACCCTAGGTGTGCAGAGGCCTCCCACGTACAGGGCTCCGATTTTCGGGCCATCACCCAATTTTTGGCATTTCGTAGCCCCTTTAAAGTACTTGTCATGACGCTACTAGTAAAGGAAAAAATGGATCACGCCGTCCGATAATTACTAAGGTAGCACACAAGATGAAAGAGAATCAATATTTTGAGAAATTATACCTCCCAGCGGCTTCGCAAGTTCTGCAGATTCGCGGAATCTTTACGGGAAGGTTCTTCCGGGACAGGCGTCATCTTGCTGGCACCCGACCAAACGGTGCGAAACAGCTCCTTCGGCTTGGCGGGCTCTGTGGTAGCTGTGATACTTGGCGGAAGCGGCGGCGTGCTCATGTCATCGCGAATCGGAGAGCTCGTGCTTAGCGGCTTCTAAAAACAAATGATAAATACGAACGAGAAGCTTACGAAGTCAGCGGCGCCATGTGAAGGAAAAGTGAACGAGTCGTGATGTTGCAAATTGAGCACGCGCTGGCCTTTGAACACCATTGGGCTTCCGGTGATGATGGATTCGTTTGGGTTTTGGTGGTCGGGCGTCGAGTTGGGCAAGTATGGCTTCTAAAGATACAAAATGGTGAAGAAAAATTGGGAATATACCTTCTGGGACAGGAAAGTTTGCATCCCGAAACGAGTGGATGAGGCTGTGGAAGTCGAGGTCGAGGTGGCGGTGTTGTTGTGCTCAATCGTGACCTAAAAGTTGGGTAATAAGAAAAAAAGTCAAATATACCGTATCAGTCGCCAACTTTTCTTCTTTTTTGACGCTCGAAATGACGTGGGGCACATTGCGGTTGAAGATGATGGCCGACCCGGTGGTTGGATCTTCTAAAGAAAAAGAGGATAATCTGCGTAATTTCCGGCAACCTTTCTTCGGCGTGACATAGCTCTTTGGGGCGAAGAAGTCGACAGCTTTCGATGAACGATCAGTCGAGCTTCCGCTGGTGTTTCGTGGGGCGGGCACGGGCGCCAATGAATTATCATCTCGGGATCGGTCGCTTTTCGGCGGCATAAAGTGGAACTCGACTTGTTCTTCTTCTGCGCTGAGGGCAGCGAAGCGGGCGCGCTAAAGAAAACAAAATTGTAAGTAGGAAAACGAATCCCTTACAATCGTAGCCCGATCGAGGCCGGCGGTGTCCGTCTCGCTGGTTTCGGAAACTAAAAGGAGAATGATTGGGGCAAAATTTATTGAATTACCGGTAGGGCGGGGTGCAGAAGCGCCTTCGTTGATCTTTTCCAATTCTTTTTGGCGCGCCTCGGCGGCTGCAAGTATTTTTGTGGTTTTTTCGTCGAAGCTGAGCATCTGGAATTGGAGAATGACGGGGAAAGAGGCGAGATTGATAATAAACAAATATTTGAAGACAAAAAATATTTTTTATAGGAAAAGAAAAGTATAAATATAAAAAATTTTGGGATCGTCAAAAATCGAAAGAAAAGTTGCGAACACTACGAGGCACGCCTCTGGCGACGATACGCGTAATGTCGTATTGTCTCGTAGTCTAGATTTTTAATCGAAATAAAAATTTTTAAAGTTTATTTTTTCACATTATTTTATACGCTTTCAGGAACGAATGCCGTGACCGACACGCTTGCCGCGCTCGTCTACGATGTGAATGCGACGGCCGAGGTGCTGCGGCGCGGATCGCTGGGCCGGGATAAGGGCAAGAAGAAGGATCGTGGCAGCGAGGTACTATTCTTATTCGTTTTGCAATACTAATTGAATAAAATTAATAAGTTATTTCTTCAGGAGGTCGAATACCGTCTCCGTTTGACACCGACGGTTGATGAGGAGCCGAGGCCATTCCCGTCACCAAAGCAGTACGAACAACGTCGGTTTGGGGAAAAGCGTTCATCTAAGAGCATTAATAATCTAAAATTCATCTCAAACTGCTGAATAATTATAGTATTTGTAATAACTCGTAGTTTGTGTAGAATAAATTAACCTCAACGCTAAATTTTCAGTGCCGGAAGAGAAGACGACGGTCGAAGACATGCATCGCGATTTCGGCGTTGACATTTCGGAATCGCACACGTAAGCTAAAGTTGTTAATGTTATGTCGCATTATCGGGGATACAAACTTTTTTATAGCTATCCTATTTGTTGTATAATATAAATAAGGAAGTGTTTCCAAATTGTTTTACTATATCTAAACGGAAGAACTTTACAAATTTTCATTGAAAATCCAAATATATAGATTTTTTGACCAAAATATCGACCAAAGACTTTTTCTAAGTCTTGGTTTGATTGTTTTTCAGCTTTAAATATAGCAAAATTGCTACTAGAATACTATACTTTTAGGTTACAAGGCTTTATGAACTTATAGAAAAAGAAATAGATTCTTCCCTACCCCCACCATTTTTTTATGCATCATTCACCGAAAATTTCAGCGCCAGTCTGAGACGCCGTGCTCGCAGCGAGACGCCGAGGCGCACCCTACAAATTGAGGTAAGGGAAATTGATCTATATTTTTCGCAGAGTCGTGGTATTCTGTTGTTTTCTCTTTTATTGTTTTCCTCTGCTTATAAACGGCGCGTTCATAAATTGGCGCCCGAATTCACGCGGGTGCGCTAGAGCGGAAACGGGTCCATACTGGGCGCAACTCTCAAAATATCCCAATGTTTCAGCCCTCACCGCCACCGACGGCGCCCGCCATTTGTGCCTATTGCGATGGGGAGATTGACGGTGGGTTTTTATGGTTGTCATGGCGCGGTAATTAAACTTAGCTATTGTATACTATTAAAAAACCATAAATACTACTAAAAACTATATAAAAAGGATAAACATTTCAGGCCAAATTCTGACGGCCCTCGCTCCAAACTCGGAGCGCGCCCAGAAGTTCCACACCTACCACTTTATGTGCACCTATTGCCAGAAGGTAAGGAATAATTAAAATAATAATAATAAATGTTGTAATGCACGAAATCCCGGTTCTTGTCTGTTAGAGGGGGTGGGAAAACTAGCTGTCCTACGCCTACCTTGAAATTTGTAGCGTTTAGGAATGCTATTTACGGTGTTTTAGTGATATATTAGTTGTTTACAATTTGTTAGAGACTTTTGATCAAGATATTAGTAGTTTAAAATTGTATTGAACTTTTTTAATGCAGATATTAGGTGTTTATCGTTGTTTTAGACACTTTTAATAATTTCTTTTTTTAATTTTGTGTGCTCAAAAAACAATCGCAACAATTCCAGGCGCTGAACATGCACGGCACATACCGTGAGCACGACCGGAAGCCGTACTGCCACGACTGCTTCTATAAGCTCTACAATGGGCTTCAGTACTGCCCCGATGAGCACCAGAAGACCATCGAGAAGCTCATCTAAAATTTTTGGCCTTTTTTGTATACTCCCCGAAAAGTTGCTCACCCGATTCCAGTTGACGCCGTGCAAAAACCACAACAAACATGCCTTTTTATGAAATGCTGCCAAAATGTCGTTTGGATAAATGTATTTTTGAGGATCGCGGAGAAGTAGAGATTTGTATTATTTTTATTGAAAAGCAGGAATTTAATGGTGCGAGGGCTGAACCAGCAAACAGCATCGTCTGTGTTGATCCCGAATCTCTCTGTGGAGCTTCTTCTTCGGCTCTGGGGAGCAGGAGCTATCGTTTTGCTTCTCGGCAACGTTATCGTCATCCGGTTTCTACAACAGAGTTAGTTTTTAGGATTATTTTGATGCTTATTTCAACTTTTCTAACTTACCGGAATTTCCGCTTTTTGTTCTTCATCGACGGCAGGCACTAGTTTTGCTCTTTTAAACGTTGCCGCCTTGCCGCTTCGTAGCCTCTAAAAAAATGGTAATAGTCTTTTAGCGGGGGGGGGGGGATGAAAACTTTTTACGTACTATCCTAGAGTGATAGAAACTTCACGTAAAATTGTTAAAATATTCGAGAATTGGTGGTTTTTGGTCAAAAATTTATAAAGAAGGGTTATAACAGCCAGTTTTTCAAACTTTTGAAAGCCATTTATGAGATTTTAGTAACAGGAACTCTGTAAACACTACAAATAATCTAAAACGTTGAAAAACGATGTATTTAAGACAATTTTTTGATTTCTAGGATGCCCCCTCCGCTAACAGTTCAGAACCAACACATTCTGTTTACAGCCTCGATTTCCTAGCTTACCTCCAAAAATTCCTGGCAAATGAATATCGACCCAAAAACTCGAAGTTCGGCGTTGATCTCCGGGATTGCCGCCAGTTTCTCGTGATCCCCGATGTGAAGCTCGACAAGGCGCGCCGAGCAGAGCTGAAAAAAGTAGAAAAAGCCTAAAAGTAGATGATCAACCCTACCGCCGCCGACGAGTTCAGAGCCACCGGAAGTGCCATCGGTTCGCTACTTGGTCGATGCTAAGAGAAATATTCGGAAATGTATCATTCATACCTTAATTTTCAGTCTCAAATGCTCTACAGGGCGATCCCCTAGCCAGTTTACAAAAAGCGGGGCGGTGTTCGAAAACACGTCCAAATCCACGAGACATGCCTGCCGGAAAGAGAAGGCCATCTGCCACCATGCTTCGTCGGCTTTGCCCTGAAAAATAGGTACTGAGCTGTTAGCGGGGGGGGGAGGAAGGGCCACACAAATTTTTTTCTTTTAATATAAGGTGTTTCTAAACTGTTTTTAGTATTCCTAAAATGTTTTTTACCATTCCTAAACGCAAAAACTTTACAATTTTTTAAATACAAAAAAAATATCGTTTGCCGTCGAAAAATGGCCGGTTTTAAACGAAATTTCGACTTTTTTCAAAATTTTAGATGTTTGATCGTGTTTCTAGTGAAAATAGGGTTTTGTTTTAGTAAAAACTATATGAAAATACTTCCGATTGAGTCTGGAATTTTTTGGCATTTCTAGATTAACACAAAAAAATTGCTAACCCCCACCCCCGATAATGTGAAAGAACCGAGATTTTTCATAAAAATATCATAAAAATTTCGAAAAATTATGATTTTGGGAAAAAAAATGCCGAAATTTTCAATTTGCCAATGTTTTTATGCATTTTTTAGCAGACATGGCAATTCCGATCGGCCGAGCCGCGCGGCCGGGCCGGCGGCCTAATTTCCATAAAAAACGCGGCCCCCTACGAGCCGCCGTAATTAGTTACTTCCGGAAGTGCGGCCAAGCCGCGCGGCCCGGCCGCATTCTAATTTTTGCGGCCGAGAAAGCCGCGCGGCCCGGCCGATTGCCATGTCTGTTTTTTTAGGAAACAAACGCTACGAAAAAGGGTTAAAAATCCTGTATGACATCCAAACAGGTTTTTAATGCACCCACTTGGCTATCAAAGACATGCGTCGAGTTCAAGGAAAGGTCTCTCTCAACAACCCTGATCGATGCTCGACGCAACGACTCGGAAAACAGCGCCATCCCGTGTGTTTTGGTGATCAACAGCCTGGAGCACGAGTTCATCTCCCACTAGAATTAACCACTCACGAAGACGCATTATTCCGCAACAACAACTCATTGCCGATCTTCGTTTTGCTGATCGAAATCTGGCCACCAGCAAATTCGACAATGATTTTGTTCTAAAGTCTATCGAATGGGAAGTGGTGTTTTTAGGATACCGATGAGACTTGTAGACGCTCGATACGTTCCGGGAACAAGCGCTTGTGGTATTGGAAACGGGAGAAAAACTGGGAAATTCGATTTATTGAATTCGTCAAAGTTACCTGGTTGGTGCGCCGAAGGTTATCTCGCTCGTCGGGCCCAAGCTTTTTGATAACTTCGTCCTAGAAAAAATTGATACTCCCTGTTTTTTACTATCCCTAAATGTCAAAACTTTACAAAATTTTACTAAAAACAAGAAAAAAATGGATTTTTCGCTCAAAAATCGCCGTTTTTGACCAAAATTTCGACTTTTCCAAAAACTTTTTGCTAGTTTTTACAGTTTTTCTAGTTCAACATGGTTTTATTTTAGTAAAAACATTAGGAAAATACTTCCTATTCTACTCTACTAGGTATTTTTAGCTTAATACAACCCCCCCTCGTTAATGCGAAAGAACCACAGCTTCAAATCACGAACCAACAGCTCGATGGGAAGTCGTGAAGCGGTAAACATTTAGCTTTCTCGTCTGAAGATGTAGAAAATACGCTCCAATTAGCACCCTCAAGTGACAGAATCCAAAGATTGCCGCGTCACGCTCCCAAAAATCCGGTTCGTGGAATGATGGATCGCGGGCGCTTCGATAAGGTTCTTTGTATGGATTATAGATCGCTAGTAGGCGGTTCAGCCGGGTAGGTGGGGGAGGAAACGGCTGGGATCAATTCATTCTCCTTTCCCGGTCACACGGGTCATTTTATCGCCGGGATCCAGTCCCGACACCTGAGCCAGTCGATCTCAACAACAACCAACACTCGCCTTCTGCAAACGATCACAGTTTCTGGTTTGTTAGCGGGGGAGTTTAATGTCAGGATTTTCATCACTATTTTTTGGGATCATATTTGGGGACCGAATTTGAACGCCGTCTATCCGAGAGGGGCCAAATTTTTACCAGCAATTTTACCCATTAAACCTATATGCACTTAAATTTTCACAGCAAAATCTTCTAAAACAAAAAAGTTACAGCCAAACTAAGGTTTGTTTTGACGATTTCACCAGTATTTCGATTTAATACAAATGGATTTCGACCTCGAAATATAAAGCACTCTTTTCGACCTGGCGGATTGTTTCAAATACAATTTACACTATTGTTTCCATTATTTTGTCGGCTTTTACCAAGTACGTACGGCTCCTTTTGCGTTTCCTCGCGTAACCGGATCTGTTAACCTCACGTTATATGGTTTTTGCCCGTGTACACCACCCCTAAAAATCTGGGAGCGGGAATCAGCGGGTTAAGTTCGGGAAGGGCCGGCTCAAGGAGACACTGGATGTGTTGCTCTACCAGCGTATGCCATACATATTTATTAAACAGAGCACAAGGACAGGCAGCAGGAAAATCATGGACACAATGGCGAGCAAGAGGACAAGGTAATCGATGAAATAATATATCGGAGGAAAGGTAGTGCAGGGAGGGACGGCGGAATTGACTTGGTGCTAGGAGTTAGGGAGACGCTACCTTCATGCTACTTCGTTTTCAACTTCCGCCTAGACGTCACTCAGCTCTCAAGCGCACGTTCAAGCAGGTGCCACGTGGGCGCCCATAGACGCAGCCAATGGGCTACTAGAACGACCCAACCGTAAATAGGCGCTCACGTAGCACATGCTTGAACGTGCGCTTTGAGTATGTTTTTTTTTTGTTAGCTACATTGTTGGTTTGGCTTGTACAAACGCAAATTCGCTTTCTTCATTCCCTAGTTTTCAGATTCTTTTTGAGCCTAGAAAGTCGGGTTAGCGTCTCGTTGTTAAAAGTCCAAACCGCCGACCAGACTTCACTAGTCAGAATTTTCTCAGTGCATAAATACTGTACAAAGATTATAATCGATCGTCGCCCCGCGCAGCTCATTTCGTCGGAGGAGGCGCAGTCTGAAAAAATGGCGAATGCTTTGGTTTAGGCTTCTTAGGCTTAGACTTAGGCTTAGGATTCAAGCTTCTGCTTAGGCTTAAGCTTAGGATTATTTTTGCTTTTGTTATAACTTACTTAAATTATTCTCTTTTTTTGTTCTAGAATTAAAACCCTTAGCATCTTTTTTTTTTGATGCTCTGCAGGGTCGCGACGACGTAATCCCCCCAAAAAATAGTAAAATTTTGAAAATCTACGACATTAAACTTTCCCCCACCGATAAACTGTCCTTGACGTCGTCCGGGGCGTCTGGAGTCCGGGAAGCCGTCGCATCATTCTGTAATGATGGGCATTGTCGGAACCCAGGAAAAATGAAGAAGTAGAGTGTCAGGAAATCCCAAACCGACTCACATGAGAACGTGAGGAGGGCGCCGTGCGCCATACGGGCTGAAAGGGGATAAAGTTAGCTGTTAGCGGGGACCAAATTTTTCCCTGTGATTCCCCACGGCCCTATAACGAAATATAAACCATTTTTATAGCACTGACATAGTTTTTAGATCAAACAATATAAAAATAATAAAAAATAAAAATTTTTAGCTTTTTGGCAAAAATGGAACAAAAAAATCAAGTAACATTCACCCTGTTGCAGATATTCTCCGAAAAGGCCAGATCCGTTGCCGTTTTGCGCTCGAATGCTTTCGCGAAGTCGGCGTGTGCTGGAAAATGGCCGCCAAATAATACATTGAACCAAATCAAGGGCTCCGGCCTCGTGAAGGCGCGAAATATTTGCGAAAATAAAACACACTGTTGTAGGTGTATTTGGTGGGGATGAAATGGATCATCGACAATCGATTGTTACCGTCGTACGCCAAGATACCGCCAATCTCCTGAATGGTCGTAGTTTTAAAGCGTTTTTAGCAGTTTTGGATTGCGAGAAGCTGCTAAATTTGTGCCAAAAATTTTGAAAATGCGAAAATCTGGACTTTTTGGTCATGTTCGACACAATTTTGACCAAAAAATCCTAAATGTCCGAAAATTTTGATTTTTTTATATTGTTTTTGTACTTACAAACTATGGAAAACGCTATAAAAATGGTTTATATTTTCTTATAGGGGCGTAGAGAACTGGACTGTCGAAAATTTTGATTTTTTTATATTGTTCTTGTACCTACAAACTATAGAAAACGCTATAAAAATGGTTTATATTTTTTATAGGGGCGTAGAGAATCACAGGGAAAAATTTGGTTCCCCCCGCTAACAGTCCAGAACCGCCCTGCTACGACAGACATATTCAACTCCATACGTCCTCAAGCACCGACCGTTTAAATGCTAGGCAACGAACAATGCCAGTATCGAAAACTAAACCAAAACGATACCGACCGGGTTCGGCTCCTCATCCCGAATGATTTTATTCCTGAAGTGCATGCCCTCTCTGGTATTCGCGCGAAGCATGGTCTGCTCATCCGCCGACAGGGGGTTATTTTCCGGCTTTCTCCATGTTGATGTGAAGATGGAGATCAACCAGTCGCCAAAAAACTGCACGCCGATGTTCATCATCTGAATCGGCATTTGGCTGACGCGCTGGGATAGCCAAGTATTTCCATAATGTTTTCACTAAAAATCAATGAAACTATCTTTAGCTAGAAAACTATCTAAAACTTTCAAAAATTTCAAAAAAGCTAAATTTCTGTCAAAAACGCCCGGTTTTCGTCGAAAAATCGATATTGTTTGTATTTTTAAAAAAAATTGTAAAGTTGTCCGTTTCGGAAACAAGGAAAGGAAAAACAGGAAAGTAAAAAAAATTAGAAACACTTCGGCTATTTATATATTTGATTGGTTCCTAAAAAAGAATTGCCTTCCCCCGTTTTCTAGTCAGCGCCTCGACTGTCAGGGATACCAACTTGATGAGCCCGGACGATGAATTGAATGCCGAGCTCACGGCGGATTTCTTCGATCGCCTCCTCGCCGTAGAAATAGCCAGTCTCACGCACGCGGTTCCAAGCATACCTGACAAGGAGATTGTCTCAGCTCGGGATCGAACTTCGATTTGAAAATTTGCATACTTATAGAGCTCGACGAGACGAATCGATTGGTGTAACTTTCAGCTGCCCATACCGTAATTCAGCCGAGTTATAAGCATTTTAAGCTTTTGCATGATTTTCGTGCGCTATCCGGCCTGTCTCCTTCCCTTCCCCGCCTGCCCACCGCCGTGGTCTGTTGGCCTGGTGGTGTAGTAGGCAGCGTGTGGGGAATCTAACTAGGGTACGAACCCTCTCACGATTTTAATTTTTTGCTTTTCCAGCCGAAGGTTCCTATTTGCTTACTGAAGGCCTTGAATAAAAGGCTGCTGGCTGAAAGTTACACCAATCGATTCGTGTCGTCCAGCTCTATAAGTGTGCCAATTTTAAAATCGAAATTCGATGTCGAGCTGAGAAGATCTCCTCGTGAAAGTGTGCCGTTCGACACGCTGCGGCCCACGCACTTTTTGACCTGATGATTGGGGTCACTCCAGAGAACGGCGATGCGCAGATCATCGTGCATGTCGTCGCTCGGCTGGAATCCTGCATCGACGGTTTCGCGTGTCAATTCTGGGCCTGAAACAATTAGACCCTCATGGAAGCGTCACCATTTTCGAAAACTTGTCTTTGTTAATATTGTTTTTACATCTAAAAACTAAGTAAAATTCTATAAAAAGGATTTATGTTTTGTTATAGGCCCAGCCACCCCAGTAATGCGAACGAACCCAAAAAGATACATACCGATGCCCCCGTGCATGGCCAGTATGCGGTTGTCGATCAGGGCCAAAATGGGCAGGCTAGCGAACATGGCTCGAATCTGCTGGCAGCACGACTCGGTGTATTCCTCATCAATCAGTTCCAGACAAAAATCATAGGCGTAGTGGACATGTGGCAGTTCGTGATTGCCGGACACGTAGAAGATCTGAAATCGTACAACACTGGATGCACCCATCAAAATATACCCACCCTATCGGGATAGAGCACCAAACCGGCGACTATCAGCACGACAGACATCAACTGGCGTTTGCCACGATCGACGATATTGCCAAGGAACACGATACTGGAAGACGGACGTTTACTGTATTCTATGGGAACGCGCGCTCACTTTTGGCCTGGCGACGCCTTTTCCGAGTAGGCGGCGAATATACGAGCGAGGGTGTTGAACTAAAAGGGTAGTAAATGTCATTTTTATGCTCGAAAGAGCAAATTAATTAGTATTATGCAAGCCGCGGCTAAGCCAGCCCAACGGAGGCTTGGTTTTTCAACCTAATTTTTTAATCTTACACCATTTTTCACCTGAAACGCGTGGGATTTAGAAACAGACAAAAAAATGTCGGTCTGAGCTTGAAAACTTGTTTCCTGCTGAAAAAAGTTTGTTGAACCCTATACGGTGGTGATGTGCAAACTATCGTATACTCACATCTCCATGGATGTCTCCAACGATCCAAGTCGACCCGGAGACGCGAGCAACACCATTCATCCCGCCAACGATGATGCGGGCGTGGTGGAACAAAGCTTTCAATTCCTCGTGATGAAATGTTCTGCGCGGCTGGAAAATGTAAATACCATATATGCTTTAGAAATTTTGGATCAAAAACCGGCTTTTTGGTCGAAAAATCGTTTTTAACCAAAGTTTGTAAAGTTTTTACGTTTATGAAGAGTAAGAAAACATTTAGAAACATTGCCACTATTCATATCTTTAAAATTAGATCCTTAAAAAAGTTGTGAACCCCTACATTCCCATTCGTTTCCGAGACCATGTAGCCGTGCGCGAGTTCGTGGAAGAGCTTTCTTGCGATGGCAACCGGATCGTGGAGCATCTCGGTGATGATGTTCAGCTCAAGGTCCCCGCCTTTAGGCTGAACGCGAATAGTATAAGTCCCATGTTGCTTTTCAGATAAGGCGACCCGGATACCGAGTGATTTGACGCACCAGCTCCGGTAGCTTCTTGACTTGTAACGCGATGTGTCCCTTTTCGGCGAAGGCGAGCTGGGTGGGATCTCCTCGAGGCGGTGGAGTCCCGGTGATCTAAAACCAGCCCTTGTTCGTTAGCGGGGGTTACGTACGGCCCTCTAACGAAATATAAACAATTTTTCTAGCATTTCTCATAGTTTCTAGATACAAGTTTTATAAAAAATTCTAAAAACTTCCGAAACTTTTTCACCATTTGGCAAAAAATGTGTGAAAAATGACCAAGAAGGTCAAAAAATTCTTCCACTTACAGTCAAAACTAATGGCAATTCATTCGGACGCGCTCGGCACTCGCTTACCACTTTATCAAACTTCTCCATCCAGTTATCGGGCAGGGTTTGCGTCTCAAGGGTAATGTTCTCAGTGGGGTAGACCTTTGATAATGGCAGAGCCAATGGCACGCCTGGCGACGGCTCTTCGTCGGGGCATTTCCTGAAAAGGTTCTGGTTCGTGAGCAGAGTTTAAAGGGATGCCGACGGCATAGTCAATAGGTTACGCGCGGAAAAGAAAATGTCTCGGTGCCTCTCCCCCTGAGCGCGCTCTCTCCCATGTTGGCTACTTGCCAATTTGTTGATGAGGGGGGGATCGACACATGCCGTCGGCAGCCCTTTAATGTCGCAGATTTTTGAAAGTTAAAACAAAAGCCGAGTAAACCCTGAAAATGGGGTTCGTAAGCTATTTTTCGGGATTTCGATATTTTTCGACATTCCGCTAACGCTATGAACAGAGCACCAAAAATAAACGAAGAGTTTCATAAACAGCGCAAAATAACGTAATTTAAGATAAAGGAAGCAAATGTGCCCCCCCCCCCCCCCCCGCTAACGAACGAGAACCCCTGAAAATTTCAAGGCGCTTCAACAGGGCCCCGTTAAGGAAAAAGGCCGGAAGGCTTCAGCTTACACCCCCCTCACTCGCCTGCTCTGATTGAATCTGCGGAGGTAGAACCAAAAAATCGCTGTAATGCCGCCGGCGATGACGATCGTCAATAACCCCAACGCTGCTAGGTCTGAACAAAAAAAATTACGCAAATTAAAGAATACTCACAATAGATCAAATCTGCATCGGTTGCTGATACCGCGGGCTTGTCCAAAATCGCGCTCTTGTTCCGGTTCCAACAGATTCGCTGAACGGACAATCCGGTATTAATCTGTTAATCATATAAGACTATTTTCTATCGTGTTTTGTTGTTTTTTATTGCTATGAAACTCTAGGAAGCATTTCAAAAACTTTGAATATCGAAAAAATAGTCGCCTTTTTGGTCGTTTTTGAGATTTTTTGCCCAAAAATGAAGAATCCTATTTTATGTGCTTGTCAAAATACTTGTCAAAAAGTGGAATCTGCTATAAAAATTGCATATTCTTGATTGTAAAGCCATAGCGGATTACTGCAGAAACCCCCCACGCGAAACCCCACCGAATCTTTGTCATCAACGCAGAGCGGTGGCTCGATCACTAAACCCTCCTCGCCCAGCATCTGCACGAAGATGTTCGTCCGACAGTTTAGCATCAGGTCCCTTTCTACTCGTGCTCGATCCGTTGACTAAAAAGCAGCCGTTCCAAATTTTTCAGCCGATCTGCGATCCGAATGACGCAACAAACTTGCCAATAACCGAGCCGCATTGATGCACTTCGGATACCGAATCGTTGATGTGTTCGGATTGTTCTCTGCTTCACGAGGTGTCCGGTTGGCTTCCGGATCGTGGCTGCCCTTCCGGAGTCTCGACTAAATACAATTACAGCCGCAGAAAACATTGAAATAAACCTCCATGTCACGCTGAGAGGGCCGCCTCCTTGATGGTCTGGGTGTATTCAAGATGACACCCAGCATCACATTCTCCGCTTCGTCCATGAATTCAGCATATGGTCCGGACTGAAATATATAAGAGTCTCAAAAAAGAGCCTCTATCGGTCCACAGACGTGTCCGATTTTTACGATATAGGTATCAATCGAAATGTCACGACGAGCTGAGAAGATCTGTGCTTTCGGATTTTCGAGATTCGAGAATTTTACTTGCGTTTATCAAAATTTGTGCTTGCGCCGAATCCCAGATACTTTCCAAGTAATGTTTTTTTTTTCAAAAAACCATAATTTCTGGGTTTTTGGGTTTCTGCTCGCCGCCCGACGGCAGTTTTCGAAAGCCATTCGGAAAACGCAGCTTGGATGGCGCTTCAGCCGCTTAAAGTGAGTTATTTTCTGTAAGAAATGCCGAAACTCGGGCAACAAATGCCGAAGTAAAAAAATCTGGGAAAATATCTGGCCATCGCTTTCCTAAAACATTCGATAGAGACTTAAATCGCAAAAATCAGACACTCCTCCTCCGCCAGAGACGGTATCTTTTGTGGCACCCTGGCATGATAAAAACCACTCTACCATTGCACGTCGTGCCGAAAAGGATAGTCTTGCACTGGCATTAATGATGTCCAGGTCGCTGTAGTTCGTTCGACCATATTCGTAGTGGCATGGCAAATCACAGTCCGGAGCTGCTTGTACCATTCCTTTTTTGAAGGGAGGAATTGGACTAAACGAGGTCGTGCATAATATAGCAGGGACATACGCCGTTCTGTCATCTGGTCCGCATAGTGGCAGTGGTTGGCAGAGGCTGTCCTTGGAAGGTCGACCGCCTTTTTCACAGTACTAAAAAAGAGAAAAGCTGTGAGGCTTGATAAACATTGTTACCTTGAAGTCGAGAAGATCGGACACGTCGTATGGATGGTTTTGGAGAGGAGATGGATCATCCTTCAGAAACCCAGCCGCTAGTTGGAGACTTGGCACACATGTCAATTTCTGACGATCGGCGTCGCCGTTTTTGTCAGCTTCATGTACAGCAACGACCAATCTGAATAGCTTTTAATCAAAATCGAACGAATATCCTACTTTGGGATCGTGAATCCTGCGTCACATTGCACCATATACTCGGTTGAGAGTTTGTTGTATCCGGTGCCAAAGAATTCCGTGCTTCTGTATTCAAAGAATTCATTAAGTCGAAAGTAGCTACAGCTTTTTGCCGTCACACTCTCCAAACGCCACCATCTCTCGCGGGCAGATGTTGAACGGGAAGAAGACTTTTTCTGAAAATGAAAATATAAGTAGTACTACCCCGGCGGGACATGGATTGCTTGAAAATTGGGTTGGAACCTGGTTGACCCGCTTTCAGCCTAAGCTTTGTGAGTTTTTATATCGACCGTCCTTTGCCTTATAAAGCTGTAAAGTCTACCAAATGTTAGTGGTATAATTACACAGCATAGATTACACGTGAGCGAAAAGGAGGAGCGGAAGTGCAAAAAAAAATTGAGGTTGAAAAGTCAAAAACTAAGCTTCACCGGGAGAACCAGACTTTGGACCCGTCTATTTACCTCCGTTCACCGACACAGGCTGGATGCAATCGGTTTCGTTCGACGGAGCAGCGTCTGCTTTCTAAAAAAAATCGCTCTGTCCGCGCTAAAAATATATGCTTACGCAAAACTGCGGGCGACATTTGGCCACAACCACCGGTCGAACCCCGTCAGTGTGCCCAGTAATGGTCTTCGTATTGTCACACGGTGTCTCCATTGTGCAATCGGTACACTGAATCAGATGCGTTTTAAAAGGCCGTCTGCGGGTCACTCGAACAACCCCCATTATGGCTTGGCACAGTTTTTTTCGACCCCGTTTTTTCGACGCCATGTGAAAGAGCATGGTCGAATTAGTAGGGCTGCATAGTTTTGAAAGTTTAAAAAGTTTGTTTTTGGGGTTTAAATGGCTGTTAAAGTAGCGTACCCCGAAAAACTATCTCGGTGCTCACGGGGCAGAACTGACTGAAACTTAGGGATAATACCTAATTTGGGGCGCTGATCATTTTTGTAATACATTTTGAAGCACGAAATTGGCCGGAACATAGGAATATCGCGTAGTCAAAATAGTTTTTCCGGGTTTTCTTCATGATGGAAAGTTTGCTGTAAGCTGAAAGTAACATTAAAAGATGCGCAAAAATTTTCTTTTTACTTTTTTTGACATTTTTTACAATACAGCAAGTTTTCCATCATGACGAAAAATTAGCTTTTCTAAAATCAAGAAAAACCATCACAAAATGTATAAGAAAGCTTATTTTCCAACAGATGTAAATGGCGCCGCATATAAAAACTAGCCAAAACCAAAAGCAAAAAAAAGCAAAAAGAAATTCCCTTCCTACGCGGAACTGGCGATTTGCCGGGATCGAACCCGCGATGGTTCGCCTGGTGGCACAGGGGACAGCCACTAGTGGGCGCCGCAAAGTCCCAGGCGAACGACCCGAGTTCAATCCCAGCCCCCTCTCAGAAGCCGAATTTCTTTTTGCTCTTTTTTGCGTTAAGTATGATTTCGTCTCTAGAAATCGGGGAACGTTTTTATATTTGCAATTTTTGAATTTTCTTAGCTGAGGTGCCGTAAATAGAAATTTTCGTCATGATGGAAAAGTTGCTGCATCGTAAAAAATACACCATTCGATGCAGAAAATTTTTGCGCATCTTTTAATGTTACTTTCAGCTTACAGCAAACTTTCCATCATGAAGAAAACCCGGAAAAACTGTTTTGACTACGCGATATTCCTATGTTCCGGCCAATTTCGTGCTTCAAAATGTATTACAAAAATGATCAGCGCCCCAAATTAGGTATTATCCCTAAGTTTCAGTCAGTTCTGCCCCGTGAGCACCGAGATAGTTTTTCGGGGTACGCTACTTTAACAGCCATTTAAACCCCAAAAACAAACTTTTTAAACTTTCAAAACTATGCAGCCCTACTAATTCGACCATGCTCTTTCACATGGCGTGGAAAAAACGGGGTCGAAAAAAACTGTGCCAGGCCTTGTTCGGGTGGCTCGCAAATGGCCTTTTAATACTAATCGAGCTATCAACCTTCTCATCAGATTGTTGGAGCCAGTCTGGATAGGAGGAATTGAGGCGCTCGTACGCATAACAAAGAAACGGACGGTAGTTGCACTAAATTTAAGGTTGGCAAGAAAAGACGGGCCCGTTACCGTTGGCGGTTTCTCGGCATCGGGAAGAGTGGGGTTGCCGTTGTTGTTGCAGATCAGGAGAAGCCAGAAGAACGCTGGAGCCGCAGCACCGTTGAGGGGAGCACGAAGGCTCATCGGGGGGGGGGATTGGGCCGATGCTATGCGGTTCAATTGTTTAATGGCACACGCTGGGCTAAACCGTCACGTATTCTAATTGGGGAACTATCCTCAGATGCTAATCGTCGTCCAGATTTGGCGAGAAAAAGGTTGTAAAAACCTTCTCGTCTCTTTGTTACAGCATCTAAAGGGACACGCCGAAATCCCGGTATTCAAAAAGGGGCAGGAAAGCGCGGCGCCACAGCTTCAATTTCAGGCGGCTGGTCGTTTGTGTCATGTCGGGATTGCGGGTTGAATTCAATCCAGAAATGTTACTGAGTCTCAGTTTCTAGTAGACAATAAGAGTTTTATTAAACGTATAATCAAACGAGCATTGCGAATGCTAGGTGCGAGATCAGTTTGAGCAGCAGTGCGGGGTAGGGTCTGACCAGAAAGTGACATTCGAATAAATTTAGGCAGTCAAAAAGAGAACCGAGAAATCTGAGGTACCTAATAAAGCAACCGGGGGGAGCATAACTGTATAAGGACTGAGCAGGGGCAAATGAAGGCGGTTAGGCAAAGATGGTGAGCGGTTTATTCGTGCCTTGCGCGCTTGACGGTGCCCGCGTCGCCTTCATCGGACTCGTCATCATCAAGTGCCGGCTTCTTCTTTAAGCGTCGCGGCTCGTTTTCGTTGTGGGCATCGAGCTGTTCGCGAGTCGGCTTCCGGTCGGTCTGGGAGTCGGGCTGGGAGGCCTTGAGCTGGCTGAGACTTGGCTTCCTGTCAACGATTGCCGCCTGCCGGTTAACGATAGGGCGAAGCGGGGCTTCTGGTACTGCGACTTCCGCTCCGCGCAGCTCCATCGGAGTGATCATCGGCTTTGTGATATTCAGCTTCTCGATCACGTCCTGAAAGATAACGGATTAGAGGCTACGCAGAATCCGCTGCTAGTTCCTTAGCGGGGGGAGGGAGTAAAGGGAGAATCTAACTTATTCCTGTTTTCCCGTAGGCCTATTTTAATAGGATTTTACGCCCTTTCTAGCCACAAGCCTAGATTTGATTAAAAATTAAGCAAATACTTTTTTGCTTAAAATGCCTGAAAAATGCAAAATCGGATTTATTTCCCTTTATAAACATTTTCGTCAGCGGAAACTACTAAAAACAACATAAACAATAGTTTCTCTTTCGTTGCCATCAGGCTAGGATAAAAAACGGAAGTAAAGCCCCAGCTAACGAACGATAACTCAAAAGCTTACCTTCCAATCATTCTTGGTCATTGCAAAAACGGATTGGTGACTCGGCACTTTGCCCTTCTTGTTCTGCTCCCGAAGCGTCTTGAGTTGATCTTCGGGGACGTGCCCTAAAAAGGCGTAAAAAACCACAAATCGTTTCATACAAATTTCCGGGGTTCCTGTCTCTTGATTGATCTGATAGCGGACGCGGAGGTCGCGGAGAATGAAGGCCATGTGGAACATGTTCTCAACCTGAATCAAAATTAAGGGTTTGCCAAATGAGCTACCGTTCGCGTATAGCTGTCCGGATCGACGACGAATTCGTAGTAGCCGACCGATCGCACCTTATTGGCTTTCAGGTATCTCATCAGTGATTTCAGAATGAACTGGAGCTCGATCATCAACGATTGGTCTTCGCCTTGGTTTTCGCCTTCAGTCTAAAAAACGATTATCGAAGGCTGTGCCCATCCAAACCTTTTGTTCCAATACGACACGTTGCGCCTTGGCCTTCTGCCCAGCCACCGCAGCCTCCTTCTTTTTCTCCTTCTTCACTTTGGCGGCCGTCGGGGCTATGGCTTTATTGGAAAAAAGTGGGCGCCTACAAAATTCGTCGGGTCCAAAAAGATAGCCTACAGTCCAACGAGCTTCGTCGGAATGTAGAACAGCGGGAAGGACCGCCCGATGCACGCCAGCTGCTTGCCGTTGAACTAAAAAAGTGTACAAGCAAACACAAATCCGAAACCAGCGAAGGTCGAGGTCGTCGCTTCTGTGTGCTTTGCGTTTTCGGCTGCCACGCCAAGACGTCGTCATCCTCATCTTCCGAATCCGTGGCCAGTAGCGGGTTGATGGGGGCCCTGATCCGGTCGGCGGTCGGAGGCGCGTTGGCGACGTCTTTTGTAAAGGATGTCTAAAGAATAGTGCACTTCCAAAAACAATAATTACCAATTTCGCAGCAAAAATGTCGTGCTGAAGGTGCGCCTCCGTAGTCTCCTAAGAAAAAAAAAATATTTTGTGGCCTCGATTTGGATTATACCTGAAAGTTTGTAAGCCTGGTTTGAACGTAGGCTGTTTGAGCGAGCAGGAACCTAGCATCTGCGGACACCTGGCGACCTTTAGACATCTAAAAACTCCATATCCACACGATCAAAATAAACAACCTCTTTGAAATCGTCATCCCTCTTCTTGAGCATATCAACCAGCTGATCGCTTTTGAAGTTGCACGCGCCCTCACCACGCGCAATGCGTTCAACATCCTCTATAAGGATCAGAATTGTGAAAATACATAGGAAACAATACCGAGAATCTTCTCCGAATCGTTGCCAAGCTGTTCTATGTTGGCCGCCTCGGCGGCGTTTCGCGAGTCGGCGTCGACCCGGTTCGCCGCCGCAACACGCTCCCGCTCAGCTTTAAGGAGGGCTTCCTATAAAGAAAAAATTCCTCAAATCCCAGAAACCGTACATCTTCGATGGTCAGCCGGCGAATATGGGTGGTCAGTTGTGTAGAGCTTGCTTGCTGAGATCTTCGCTCCATCAAGTGGAGTCTTTCTGAAACTAGGGTTTGACAAGGGCTTTATTTTACAAGTGTTTTAGAGAAAGTAGAGCAAAAGGGAAGATCCAATAAATGCTGAAAATCGAGCCGAATTTCCTGAAAACTATTGGCCAAAAAGTTTTCCCGAGCAACGAAATGCTCATCGATCGCCGCATGAGCGCTGGAATTCCATCGCGTAACCGGAATGCGCTTTCCCGCCGCCCAGCCCAAACACTACATATGCTGGCGAGACCAGCGGGATCAAAAGATACTGCTAAAAAGTATAAGATTTACAGAGGGGAAAGATTTTTAGATAGCTAGCTTTTAGCTGGTAGAAGATATAAAAGGCTGAGCAATGCTATATTTTAGAAACAAGGGATCGAAAATACATAAAAATTCAAAGAAATAACCTAAAAACCAAAATTATAAAACTTCTAAACCTTTAAAATGTAATGAAAAATTTGGGCTACACGTGCTCCAATTGACGTACTATAGCGGACTGTTACGTAACAGTCGGCAGAGACTTCGTTTTCGTACCGAGGTGTTATGCGGAAAATGACGGGTGTATTCAAAAAGTTTGCACACCCAATACAGCTAAACAACGAAGGTCCAGGGCGAAGGCCGGCTACGGCATAATTCAAATGACGTAGCGGCGTAAGGAGTAGCATGACGTAGCGACGTTTTGTGTAGCAACGTACCGGTATACCACCTCGTTTGCCGATAATTTAGCATATAATAAATTCTTAGCAAAATGAAAGTTTTAACTTTTCATTTGTATTGTATCGTTTTCAGCGTAATTTTTTACCCAGGTCCCGAAATTTTGGTGTGGCCCGGATAAATTTCAACAAAATTTGCTTTTATCTCGAGAATCTGACGTCCTAGGTAATGAACGAGCTCATTTTCAGAATCAGCACAAAAAATAGTCTATTTTGGGTACCCTAGCAGCCCCGGATGTGGCAAAACAGCACGTAAATCCCCAATGTTGATGCGCGAAAATCGGGCCTTTTCAGAACGGAAGATTTCATGGATCGAATTGGCCGTTTTTATGCTCAAAAAATCCGCGATAATTTGTTCTCTAAAATAAATCATGAAAATGTTGATGAAAAACGCGTTTTAAAGAAATTTTTAATTATTTCTATCTTTTACTAGCATTTTTCGCCCCTTCTCGGAGCCCCCAGGCCCGACCAAACCCTTTTACCCTAATGCCGTGACCCAATGACCGTAGCCCAGCCCCCTTTTGCCCTACGTAAGCGGACCAAAGCGGATTGTTTCGTATTCCGCTGGCGAATAAAAAATCCGCCCAGCGATAATACGACACACTCCGTTTACGAATTCCGTAATGAGTGTACTTGTACTTCGTTGCAGTTTTAATTAAGGCTGTAGTGGCTGTGTTTGAAAGCTACTGGTAAAATATGTAAGAGTAAAAGAAAAAGAAAAGTAAAAGGTAAAAGAAAAAGGTCAATGTTATGATAAAAGAAAAGCTTGAATAAGCCCAAGCATATCAAGCTTAGCTAATATATTTCCAAGCCTACACATCCAACAAGTCGCTCCAGAAGTCGCCAGTGTTATCAGGCCACGTGGGCGCGGTTTCAGTGCCCGGAAGGCGTTAATCTAACAGTTTAAGCGCAAAAAGAATGGCAACCCGGATCGAACGTCGTTTTGCGCGCATCTGCAAAAAGTGCAACGTCCTATAAATATCGCCGTTTTTCTAACATGAATAGTTACATAAAAGTCTAAACTATTTAAATACATGAAAATGTGAAAAACAGCTAACTGAACTGCGCGAAGGGGCTTTCAATACTTGTTGCGCAATTGCCAGCTAGTTTTGTGTCAGGTGAAGCGGGCAACAAAATGCCTGAACCCAGTTTCGCCAGTTTTAGCGATTTTATAGAGATTAGCGTTTTTTTTTTTGTTCTGTCGCTTTAAATCCTTGGGATCGAATTAAACTTAGGCTTAGGCTTAGGGTTGGCTTCGGTCCGGCTTAGGATTAGGCTTGGCTTAGGATTAGGCTTGGCTTAGGATTAGGTTAGGCTTAGGCTTAGGCTCAGTCCTATTTAAACTTCCACAAAGGGCACTTCATTGTTTCCCCCCGGTTTCTCGGTTCATTTCCCTTTTTGGCAGACTGCGGTGCAGATGGAGAGGGTGGATAGTGGTGGTGTGTATGTGTGTATGTGCCCTCAATAGAGAACTAGAAAGGGGTGGGAGGCCTCCATTAGGGATTCGGGCCCTCGGACCCCGGGGGGCCCTTGTGGCCCATGGCGGGGTGGCCACCCCCGTTGGCTTTTGCTGGGGCTGAAATCGAGTCGGGGTCCACTCAGCTAGGGCCCCTTAGGGGCCCAGCCTTGGGGCCCCACTCGCTTTTCTTAGGGCCCGGACGTGGGCCTTATCCCCGTGGCCGGGACAACCCTATTCATCCGGCTAATTGATTTACGATTTGATGGGGTGCTTGACGGGAAATTGGCCGAAAATTTTGAAGGGTTTTAGAATGCTTCTGGCGTCGGTAATATTGTTTATATTAGTTTTATATGCTATATTTATTCTATTTTATTCTATTTTTTCTGATTTCTATTTTACTTTTTTAGCCTTAAAACGGTCTCGTATACAACGGTTTATCGTATTTGTGCTAGAAAATGCCGGGAGTTTGGCAATTTTCACTGGTTTAGCGATTTCAGAAGGTATCTTTCTCCATAATGATCGGTTTCTATGACTTTGTTTGCTTTTGCTATGCTACTTTTCTAAGCCTTAAAACAAATTCCCAGACAGTTTTTTGTCGTATTTTTTCTTGCAATTGCGCTATTTTTGCTAATAATAAATTGAATTTTTACTATTTATTTTTACCAGTATTTTTATAGTCAAAACCGCGTTTTATGATCGATACTTACTTTTATTTACGGATTTAAGCTACCTGCGATCGAACCCGGGGCGCACAATAATTTTTTATGCATGGGGCACACGGGCCGGAGGCACCGCAAATAAAAAAGGGGAAGAACGCCGGGATTTTCGGGGTGCGAGGTTTTTGTTTTATAGATTACATTTTTTCTAAGAAACGAATCTTTTTCATATCAATAGAGCAGGGGTTTTAAACGGCTTTTTTACTTTTCCTGAACGACGGAGTTTGCAAATTTTGATGGAAAAATCTCGATTTTCCCCGAAAACTTCAACTAAAATAGTTTTAGAGTTTTGTTTGATTATTTTTCACTTGAAATATAGTTAAATTTTGTGAAACTGACCAAAGACTTAATATTAATTTACAAGAAATTTCTAGGGATATAGGAGAAGATTAAGGTTTTGCCGATAACGCCCCCCCCCCCGATAATGGAAAAGCACCAAAATATACATTTAGACCTTTTCTTTCGTTTCGTTTCCATTTTTTTTCAATTTTTTTGAAACATTTAATTTTTAACGCTTTTTTAATGCTAATTTAATAATCTCAATTTAATGAGAAAACGCCCTCAAGCTGTAATTGGGAATCCATGCGCCTCGGCAATTTCCTCGGAGTGTTTGCCCTGCTTGCGGCGGGGTGCTTCGGGTTTTTTGGCCATTTGCCCCGGTTGGCATGAAATGGGTTGTGTGTGTGGCCCGAGGCTTCATCCCCCCCTTGCCCGCACAACTGTTCACTCATCGTGTCGCGTAGGGCAAGGAGGCATCGATTAATTTAAGGTTTTTGAATTGGAAAAGGTTTTCCTGATTAATTTTATAGATTTTTTAATCCTTTTTATAGAGCGGTTATCTTTAATTAGTGAAATTTTCAGTTTTAGACTTTTTTAAGCACGAAAAATGCATTCGTTATGTCTCTAATTTTAACGCTAATTCTATTTATAATTCTCTTGAATAATTATCCTATTTACAAAATTTCTAGATTGATTTCCTCATTTTCCGATGATAATTTTAAGAGCTAGATAACCACTATTTAAATTATTAATTTTGGTTTTTTAATGTATAAATCGTTGTAGATTTTCACTTCGTTGTTAAGTGTATCACTTGTTATTTTTACTTAGAAATTCTCTAATTTTGGTTTTCAATGTCTAAATCAAGAAATTTGTATAACACTTTATTACAGACATGTTGGCGGCCAGGGGTGTTTCGCTGGGCCTCGGGAAGATCAACCTCAGCGACCTGAACCAGTTGCCCGGGGATCGGCAACTCCAGGCAGCGGCTTTGGTAAGTGGCTTGTTAGGCTTGGGCTTAGGATTAGGCTTGGGCTTAGGATTGAGCTTGGGCTTTGGCATGGGCTTAGGCTTAGGCTTGAGCTGGGCATGGCCTTAAGCTTAGGCTAGGCTTAGGCTTAAGCATGGGCTTCGTTTGGCTTAGGCTTGGGCTTAGGCTTAGGATTAGGCTCAGGCTTGCCTTGAGATTAGACCTCGGCTTAGGTTAGTTTTCGAAATATTTGCGCGGCGGCGCGCACCCTAGGCAACGGCACCAATTTGCAGGCGCGGCGCAAGCAGGAGGAGAAGCAACGGAAACGGCTCCAGCCCCGCGTCATCATCAAGAAGAAGGCCGACGCCAAGGTGGGTAGTTTTGAGCAGGGTTTAAAAGACGGCTTGACTTTGATAAATCAACTTCTAACGTTTTTTAATAGGCTTAGGCGTAGACTTAGGTAAGGCGTAGGCTTAGGCTTAGGCTTAGCTTCGGTTTAAACATAGGCTTACGAATTTTTTCTTATTTTTGAAAGTAAAGCTTCTTTTTCGCTTTTTCGAAAACACGAAAAGCGGATGAATTTTCACGCGTGAAGCCAAAAAACCCAGCAAAACGCTGAACGTCTCCAGGGCGACGCCAGGGTGTGTGGGATTAGTTTAAAATTCCCGTCATTCCAACTTTTCGAGGGGGGCGCCAGCGTTAATCCGGGGGATAGCCGTCATTTTGGATGGGCCACCTCGCGTTGGGTCGTCTCGATTTCTCTACAAATATCTATCCAAATATTGGGAAATACTGACACCTTGCTATTTGCCGTCTTTACTCGATCTCGTGCATGGTCTCGTCATTTCGGGCTCGAGCCCAATTCTTGGCCTCGTATTATATGGCTAATCAGCAGGTATATTTTTATACGGATGCTGTTACGCATTTACTATAAATATTCCGCAGTTTCCGCTTGTCGAAATTTCATTTTTTCGAAGACTTTTTGGCGGCATTTCATTTTTTCGACATTTTTATTTTGTCGGTATATATTCCGCTGAAACATGTGGAAAATTAAAATATTTTTGAAATGTTTTTTTAGCATGTTCTTTCTGAAAGATCGATATTCTGTGTTTCTCGACAAAATAAAATGCCGACGCAAGGATTTCGACAAATCAGACAAAATAAATTTCTGCGTTTTAATTTACAGCAAAATAATGTTTTGCAAACAGTAAATCTCGGCAAAATTAATTTCGACCATCTAATTGAAATAAAAACCAAAAATGACAAACTAAAATGCCGACAAAAGAATTTCGACATTCTGGTTTTCGACAAAATGAAAATAACCTGATTGTAAGGTATAATCTGCTGTTTTTCACCGGAGCAGCCTAGCAGATATGTTTTGGGAAGCTTTAAAAGGCCGTTTGCGAGCCACCCGAACAAGGCTTGGCACAGTTTTTTTCGACCCTATTTTTTTGACGCCATCTGAAAGAGCGTGGTCGAATTAGTAGAGTGGCACTATTTTGAGAATTTTAAAAGTTTAATTTCGGGGTTAAATCGGCCGTTAAAGTTGCCGATGTCAAAAAATTATCTCGAACGTGACTTGAGGTAATTTGTTAAAAATTGGTGTGTATGCCTAATTTTGGACGCTGATCATTTCTCTAATACATCGCGAAACACAGAAATGAGCGGAACATGGTTAAATCACGTACTCGAGATGGTTTTCCCGGAATCCATAAAAAACGGCCTTTTCTGCGCTCCACGAAAGTAACGTAGAAAGGTGCGCCATATTTTTTTACGTCGATTCATGTGTCGTTTACCCGGAAACCAGCTCCCCTCCTCTTGCTAGAACGCGTTTTATCCGCCAAAACGCGCCAAAAATGGCCCCCAAAAATACAAAATCTCCGATTTGGAAAAGTAAAGACAACAGATCGCACCTAGAAGACGAGCTGAAGCGATTGCAAAAAAGAGCAAAAAGAAATTAGCCTTATTTCAATGTCGCGGAATCGAACCCGGACCCTCCGCCTGGGAGCCCCGTGGCGCAATGAGTAGAGCGTCGGCGTGCCAATCCGGAGCCGGCGCGGGTTCAATCCCAGCCCCCTCTCAGAAGCCGAATTTATTTTTGCTCTTTTTTGCAATCGCTTCAGCTCGTCTTCTAGATGCGATCTGTTGTCTTTATTTTTCCAAATCGGAGATTTTGTATTTTTGGGGGCCATTTTTGGCGCGTTTTGGCGGATAAAACGCGTTCTAGCAAGAGGAGGGGAGCTGGTTTCCGGGTAAACGACACATGAATCGACGTAAAAATATGGCGCACCTTCTACGTTACTTTCATGGAGCGCAGAAAAGGCCGTTTTTTATGGATTCCGGGAAAACCATCTCGAGTACGTGATTTAACCATGTTCCGCTCATTTCTGTGTTTCGCGATGTATTAGAGAAATGATCAGCGTCCAAAATTAGGCATACACACCAATTTTTAACAAATTACCTCAAGTCACGTTCGAGATAATTTTTTGACATCGGCAACTTTAACGGCCGATTTAACCCCGAAATTAAACTTTTAAAATTCTCAAAATAGTGCCACCCTACTAATTCGACCATGCTCTTTCAGATGGCGTCAAAAAATAGCTCCGAAAAAAACTGTGCCAAGACATATTAGAGCCTGTTCGAGTGACTCGCGGATGGCCTTTTAATTTGGATTTCGAATGGTCGATATGGATTTTTTTTCTCACTAGGCTGGCTAGGAAAACAAACATTTAGCAACCTTGATGGGAAATTGATCGTAGATTTAAAGCATATTGAGTTTTTCTAAGCGGTATAGTCTCCAACCTGGATTCTTTGGCGCGTGGCAGGCTAGCAGAGACCATTTGGGCCGGATTTCTCGTATACCAAAGCCTTGAGCCTTCCCGGATTCCCCACAGGGGACCCATCTTGCATATGAACTATTCGGCGGGCCCTAACCTATCCACTTTGACTGGCCAGCCCCCAGCTAACAAAGCCATTTTGAGCACAAGCTTCTAGCGACCTCATTTTCATAAGGTTTTTTAAGTCAATATCTTGCATTTTTTAACTTTTATTAATGTCTATCGATCGATATTCGAAAGTGGACTCATAAGCTTAGGCTGGGCTGGATTTGGGCTTAGGTTTAGGCTTGGGCTTGGGCTAGGCTCAGACTTGGGATGATCATAACCTTGGGCTTTGGTTTAAGGTTAATCTGAGGCTTAGGTTTAGGCTTCGCTTAGGCTTAGCTTAGGCTTGGCTTGGCTTGGCTTAGGCTTAACCTTAGGCACTGGCTTTCGCTTAGGCTTAGGCTTAGACTCAGGCTAAGGTTTGGGCTTGGGGTTGTGGTTAGTCCTAGGCTTAGGTTAGGCATCGACTTATCCTTTGGCTTAAGCTTAAGCTTAGGCTTAGGCTTAAAATTCGTTGTTTCGTTGATGCGAAATACCGCCATCATTCATATTTTGAACGCTCTGGCTAGGCAAAATACCCCCGGTTGCGTCCGCGGCAAAAGCCAAAATGGCTTAGGTGTCAATATTGGGGCCCTTCCGGGCACTTGACCCATTCGAGTGTCCATCTACCCCATCCTCCACACACCCTGAAATCTCGTGGCTGCCGGCGCGAATGGGGCGGAATATCACCGTGGGAAAGGCATAAGCCTGGGTGGAATCAAGGAAACCCAACGGGCCCTCACATTTCTTTACTGTAACCCTCTTATAGTCGAAGTGGAAATTCGTTTCGTGAGATAGCACATCTTGTGCAGAATTTTTTGCTGATTCCGAATCCGTTTTCAAAAGTTGCGGAACCCCTCAGATTAAAAAGTTACAAACGTTTTTAATACCCAAAATGCCCAAAATCGCTTACTTTAAAGTGTTCTAAAAATTTCGTAGAATTCCTATGCAGGGAGAGTAAGGCGTTCCCCGGGGTTTCGAAAATTTTGAAAATCGGCCATCTTGGGCATGGGCCCACCGAAAAAACTTTTTTGCAAATTTCGAGCTACGGGTTCGTGAGGTAGCCCATTCGAAAGAGCACGTTTTTTTACCCCGGAGATCGCCGTACTCTCCCTGCAAAAGTATTGTATATGTAAGCGCTCTCCCTGTATAGCTCTCCCTGTAAAGTATTTTTAGAACACTTTAAAGTAAGCGATTTTGGGCATTTTGGGTATTAAAAACGTTTGTAACTTTTTAATCTGAGGGGTTCCGCAACTTTTGAAAACGGATTCGGAATCAGCAAAAAATTCTGCACAAGATGTGCTATCTCACGAAACGAATTTCCACTTCGACGATAAAAGGGCTACAGTTAGGGCCAAGCGTGGGCCAACCGATTACGACGGCTAATTATTCACCCTCGGGGTTCTGGGGCGAGACAAGATGGAGCGCTACGTGGACCCAATTGAATGCGTCATTCAGGTATCAGAGTGGGAGGATGTAAAGGGCGTTGGGACGAGTTTAGGCTTAAGCTTAGTTTTGAACTTAAGCTTAGGCTTGACTTAGGCTTAGGTTAGGCTTAAATCTGGCTTGGCTTGGCTTGGCTTAGAATTAGGCTTAGACTGAGGATTAAGCTTAGGATTGGCTTGGTTCGACTGGACTTGGCTTGGATTAGCTCGGTCTGGCTTGACTTGGCTTAGGCTGACGAATAGGCTTAGGCTTAGGCTTAGGATTGGACTTGGATCAGGCGTGGGCTTAGACTTGGTGAGGTGATTGTGCTCTACCATACTACTGGCTTGGCTTGGCTTAGGCATAGGCTTAGGCCGAGGCTTAAGCTTATGCTTAGGCTCAGGCTTAAGCTCAAGTACCTTGTCCGGAAGTAATTCGAACTCAGAATTCTCTTAATTGGCCATAAAAGCCTATTTTAAAATTCCTGAGTGTAAAGGACAGGGCAGGCTAGCAAAGACCTTTAAGGAAGTGCAAGTTCAAAGCATAGCCACCCGCTAGCCAACCACCCATTTTTTAGTTATTCATAGAGAGCTTTTCATAGGGAAGAAGGCCGCCTTTCGGGTTTCCGCTCTTCCCATTGATTTTGGACTCTTTAACGGGCCTTACCAGCTGGTTTTTTACTTTTCTAAGTGACACCATCCCTTTAAAGTCATTCCCCCAGGCACCGCTAATCCCCAGTGCTCTCAATTCTCGATTCCGTGGAGCAACACCTTCCCCAATTTCCCCATTCGTCCAATACGAAGAGAAACGGCCTGGGGAAAATAGGGGGAATTCGGTTTCCTTGCACGGCCATCTCTAGAATTCTATTGGATTGTCCAGCCCATCTGGGTCCTGCGCCATAGGGCCAAATTCTGAAGCTATTAGGTTGTTTAGAATTTATTTTTTTTAGAAGCCGAAACCAGTCTTTCTTACTCTCTCCATCTCGCTCTCTCTCTCTCTCTCTCTCTCGCTCTCTCTCCATCACTCTCTCTCTCTCGCTCTCTTTATCTCGCTTGCTCTATCTCTCTCACGCTCTCTGTCCCCCCCTTTCTCTCTCTCTCTCTCTCTCTCTCTCTCTCTCTCGTTAAAATTTAGCTATCTCTAAATTTTTTACTGTCAAATTTTCATCCTTTTTGATAGATACATCTCTCTCCATCGCTCTCTCTCTCTCTCCCTTTCTCTCGTTCTTCCCCTTTCTCTCGCTCGCTCGCTCACTCTCTCTCTCTCTCTCTCTCTCTCTCTCTCCCTCTCTACCCCTCTCTCGCTCTCTAACTTGCCAACCCCTGAAATCCTTCCCGGAATTCCGTTCCATTCCAAATCACAGTTTTCGTTTTTTTAAGGGCAATGTCCCTAATCGACGCCCACCGTCTCTTATATAGCGACTACGAACTGTGCTCTGAACAGCAGCATCAGCTGGTAAAAAATAAAAAATAAGATTAATTAGGTAATTAAAGTCAAAATTAAATTTTTTTCATCGCATATAAGATGCTTGAATTTTACGAATAAGAAAAAGCGAAAAAAAATGGGTAAAGCCAAGTTTATCTCATATAATTTTTTTCAATCCAGTTTTGTTTCAGACAGTTTGGGCGGCATGCCGGGCGGTGATCTTCGGCTGTATCATCATTTCGGTGGGGTTGGGCATGACGGCGCTGGGATATTTCGACAAAACCCTCAGCCAGGTGATCCCATCCCTTTAAAATTTCAAAACCAAAAAACTATTTTAGTACCAAGTCCTCAATAACGGGACGGCAGAGGAGAAGACCGACTTTGTGATTGCCTATCAACTGAAGAGCTTACAGTATATTGGTATGGAAAATCAAAAAATAAAGATTAATTAATTTTAGGGCCTGTTCTGATGGGAATTGGGACATTTATCCTGATAATAGCGTGTGTGATCACGTTGGAGAGCCGGGATAAACATGCACAGGTAGGGCAAACTAGCAGATAGCATTGAGGCCGTGAGGGGAAGTAGCAGAGATGATTTAGGAATAGGGCAAGCCAGCAGAGATCATTGAGGAAGCGAGGACAGGCTAACAGAGATCATTGAGGAAGTGAGGGCAGGCTAACAGAGATCATTGAGGAATCGAGGGCAGGCTAGCAGAGATCATTGAGGAAGCGGGCAAGCTGGCGAGATCATTCAGACAATTCCAGGTAATCCACGAGGAATCCCAAGAAATCCGGAAGCGCCGTCTGCTCTCCGACGACAAGGAGCAATTAATAGAAAGGAACGAGTCGGCAGATCAGACTTCGATACCTACCGTATCCCTCCGGGAATCACGGCGGGACTCGCGGATGTCGAGGACGAGCACAGAGAATACGGGGTCGGTTTTCACAGGATAAAGCTGGTTTTAAAGGGACTGGAAAGGCAAAAACTAGATAGATTTTGAAGCTGCGAAGAATTCGTCAAATCATTGGTTCTGGACTGTTAGCGGGGGTTAGCTGGGGGTTACCTAATGTTTTTTCCGTGATTTTTTAAGGCCCAACAACAAAATATAAACCATTTTTATATCATTTTACACAGTTTTTAGATAAAAACAACCTAAAAAATAAAAAATTTCGAAATACTTTTTGGTCAAAATGTTTGAAAAATGACAAAATTAAAAATTTTTTATATGGTTCTAGCATTAAAAAACGATTAAAAACACTATAAAAATACGTAATATATCATCAACAAGTGGAAAAACAGAAATTGGTTCATCTCCCAAAAATTCCCCCCGCTAACAGTTTAGAACCACAAATTTACTTTTTTTTCAGCTCCCCCCTCTTCGCCCGAATAGCTCGACCTCCGAGCTTCGGCCCGGCTCCACTGGCAGTGCTTGAAGAGAGCCTGAACATTTCCTTGCGGTCCCTTGATGAAAATGACAACACTTCCGCGAGTGAACGCTGACGGACTTCCGCTTATCGACTGTAAAAACTGTATTCCTGTCTTGATCTTCACATTGCTACGGGTCACGTGATAATGGTGCAAATTCTGAATAAATTCATTGCCTTTCTGGTGTTCTATTAATGCAACAATTTCCGGAAAAAAACCTCTGCAAGCCATACGTTTCGTAAAAAAGGGCTTAAAAGGCTTGTCAGGCTTAAACTTAGGCTCCGGATTAGGCTTCAACTCCAGCTTAAGCGGGCTTAGGAATCAGCTTGGGCTTAGGCTAAGGATTGGGCTTCGCTTCGGCTTCGCGAAAGGCTTAGGCATGGGCTTTGCTTAGGCTTATACTTAGGCTTCGCTTAGACTTCGGATTAGGCTTCGCTTAGGTTAGGCTTAGGCTTACGCCTGGGCTTTTAGGCTTACCCTTTTTTAGCTTATACCTTTTTATTATTTTATCATTTATAAATCTTTTCTGATCGCTTCTAACTCTGACTTCTATGTGTATTTGCCGTGAAATTGCCATGGGAATCAAAATGGGGGCCCAGGGCCCCCCATTTCCCGTCGGTCGTCAACTAATAAGTGTGACAGGGCCTCCCGTTTCACCTTTTTTTGAGTCGGGTCTCCCGAGGCAACACGTATTTTTTTGGCGGGCGGCTACTAGCTGATCGCGGAATTTCCGCGGGCCCCAAACGATGTGCTCCTAATTACGTGCCACAAAGGCTCTTTGCTAGCTTGCCTGCAGCTTCTCTCTCACTCTCTCTCTCGCTTCTCTCTCATTACCTCTCCTTTAGCCCTCCCATTAATGCATCGATGTCTTCATGCGTCATCGTGCACTCCGGTGTGAATGAGGGAGTCTCAAGGCGGGTCCAACCTGGCGTCGAGCTCATCGATGCCGACTTTTCCGCCACGCTCCGTCAGCTGCAGGGTAAATGAAGATCCCTGGCCACACAACCCTTCTTTAGACGCGGTTCAAGCCAAGACGTCGCGAGGATTGGTTCGGAATTGCGGGCTGAGCATACAATGCGGGGATGGGAGACTGGCATTGACGAATGATCCGAATACGGTGAGTACGTTGGCGCGTAGCGTAGGCTTAAGCTTAGGCTTAAGCCAAGGCTTGGGCTGGGGCTTAGCTTAGGCTTAGATTAGGCTTAGGCTTACCTACTAATAACCCAAGTTCAGATAGTGGACGCCAAAACGGCGCTTCGAAAAGGGTCGCCAACCCGGAGATTTTTTGCCTGGCTAATTGGAGAGCGGCTGGCCGACGGGTCATTTTTGGACTTCTTTCTCGTCAGGTAGGCTTTCTGGCATTTTCGCATGGAAATTTAGTGCTGTCGAGAACTGCGCACAACTTGGGATCATTCTGCAGAGTCTTTCTGTGAAAAAGGTGAATTTTAGGGCAAAGATTTTCCTAAAGGTTGCCTCCTCTCTCTCTCTTCGCTCTCTTTCATCTCGCTCACTCTTCTATCATCTCTCTCTGAGTCAACCACCCTCTCTCTCTCTCTCTCTCTCTCTCTCTCTATCTCTCTCTCTTTTCCTAAATGGTCTCTGTTAGCATGCCAACTTTGTCTGCTCAGGATTCTCTGCGAGTAGGCCAATTTCCCATCCCTCCCATTTGAGATGCCATCCCTGCTAGCCTACTCCCAAATTCACGATTCCCTCCCACTCCTATTGACAGTCTACCCCCTCAGTCTCTGTGGAATAATAGAATTCATTTGATTGTAAGTTTTCCGTAACCCTTCTTTCCGCCTTTTTCGGCTTCCTTGACAACCGCCCTATTTTCCCCCACTCACAACTCAGAAAAGAGACACACACCGGAAAACACGGATGGATTTCCACGACCTGTTCGGGTGATCACGTCTCTCACTCTCTTTCTCTCTATCTCTCTATCTCTCTCATTCTTTCACCCGCTCTCTTGCTATCTCTTGCTATCTCTCGTTCTCTCTTTCTCTCTCCCCTCTCTCTGTCGCTCTCTGTCTCTTTCTCTCTCTCTCTCGCTCTCGCTCTCTCTCACTCTCGCATTCCAATTAACTGGGCACCCCATATTTTCCCTGGCGCTGGCCCCATTTTGGGGTCCCGCCTGGAAAAACAGAAAACCGCGAGTAATTGCCGTGTCATAAGGCGGAATAACAAAAATTTTTGCATATCTGGTGTTGGGTTACGGTAGTTTTTTATTGGAATCACTGTTATCGTCGTTAAATTAGCGTTTTCCAGCTGTTCCGATACCTTTGAAATTTTTACGAGCCGTCACACCCCCTTTAAGATGGTGTCATGATACCCTTAAAATTAGGTTTATTGTTTCACGGCTGTCAACCTGCCTTTAAAATCATTTTCCAGCTGTCACCCATATTTTTAACCCGTTTCCCCCAGCTGTTACCATCCCTTTAAACCCCCGGTGCTTTAGGTCTCCATCCGCTTCATCCCTCGCTTCACTGCCCCGGATATCCAGCCACACAACAGGTACCTTAAATCGAAAATTCCTGACTACGCGACGCTCCTCTAGACGGATCGTTGCCGTCTACTTCAAACTGTCGCAGTTGCGGAATGGGGTCGAGGCGGAGGTGTTTCGCATCCCCTCCGCCATATCCAACTACGAGCGAATACGGGTTGTTGGTAAAGGTAGGTTATAAGGCTTGGCTTGGCTCAGGCTTGGCTTACATGTTAGGCTTGGGCTTAAGCGTAGGCTTAGGCTCAGGTCTAGGCTTCACTTGGGCTTAGGCTTCGCTTAGGGCTTAGGGATTAGGCTTAGGATTAGGCTTGGCTTAGGCTTAGCGTGGGCTTGGCTCAGACGTGGCTTATATTTGGTTTAAGCTTGGCTTATGCTTGGGCTTAGGCTGAGGCTTTGACTGGGGTTTGGCTTGGCTTAGGCTTGGCTTAGGGCTAGGGCTTAGGCTTGGCTTAGGGCTAGGGCTTAGGCTTTGCTTAGGCTTCGGCTGTGGCTTATGCTTATGCTTAGGCTTCAGCTAAGGCGTGGGCTTAGGCTTAGGTCCAGCTTGTTTTCAGGAGCGTTCGGAGCTGCCGTACTATACCGACGGCGTGAAGATGAGACGCTGGTAATCATCAAAGAGATTAGCATGCATCAGCTGGCCGCCACGGAGCGTCAATTGGCTAAAAATGAGGTGCGTGAGGTGGCCGTTAGGTTCCAAATCCCTTTAAAGGGCTCGTGAAGTCCGATTTGAAAAAATCTCGGTGATCCAAGACAAGACAAGACCTTTCGGGTTCCTTTAAGCGCAAAAAGTTCATTTTTGAAGGTCGAGGTCCTGTCTCGGATGGAACATCCTCACATTGTCAGCTACTTCGACTCGTTCGAGGAGGACGGGCTGTTGCTCATTGAGATGGAATATGCCGATGGAGGGTTAGTTCGAGAATGGGAGCTAGCTTAGGCTTAGGCTTAGGCATGGGCTTAAGCTCAAACTTACCCTTCCAGAACCCTGGCCCAATTCCTCATGGCTTGCACCGACTTCATCGCCGAGGAAACCATCAGCGGTCTTTTTGAGCAAATATGCTCCGCTGTGGCTTATTTGCATGAAAACAACGTGTTGCACCGGTAAATTATATTTTTTAGTAATATTGCTCCCGGATTACGGTAGATTGTTCACGTTTTAGGGACCTAAAAACGGCCAACATCTTCCTGACACAGGAGGGCGACGTGAAGATTGGGGATTTTGGGATTAGGTAAGTGAAGTAGCTTAGGCTTGGGCTTAAGCCTGGACTTACTAGGGAAGTATCTGAACTTGCCATCGAACTTCGAGAACTCAGATACACCATTCGATGCGCCGTGACAAGAGGATTCCAAATATGTAATAAAATCAACGGGAGCGCATAACGATAAAAAGTTATGAGCATTTTAAGTTTTACATTGAAAGCCGCCACTGCGAGAAGAGCCCCTCCCAGCGCACCGAGTCCATCGGTCTCGTGGCCTAGTGGTGTGCGCATGGGTCTCTGGTCTGTATGACCAGGGTTCGGATCCCCTCACCATTCTTTATTTTTTGCTTTTTGACCAGTTCCTACTTATTGCATGTCCAAACTCGGGAATAAGTTTTTCTTAACTGTGTGGCCGCTAAAAAGCACCAGTGATGATAAAATAACCTCCGGCAACAAAACCAGGATTGGACGCTCTCTATCTCAAAGTTGGCAAAATCGTCGGAAACCGCCCTTTTAAAGCTCTGTGCGAATTCGAAGAATTTAATTTGTCAAAAATGGAACAGTACATCTTGATCAGCAGAAAATTCCCTTTCGAATGAGCTATCTTACCTGCGCTTTACGCCAAATTCTCGAAAAGTCTTCGGCTAGCTGGCCATGCCCTACCCTTACTCTGCATTCCAAAAATATTTTTTGCGGAAATTTTTGGCAGCTGTATGTAATATAGTTCATTTGAAAGAGCTTTTTTTGTTGAACAAGGAGCACTAATCAGGTTAGACTAAATTCCATTCCGCGGGATAATACAGGGTCTCAAAGATGCTGTTTTTCGTCATTTTGCGGACCTGGAACCCTCATAACTTTTTACCGTTATGCGCTCCCGTTGATTTTATTACATATTTGGAATCCTCGCGTCACGGCGCGTCGAATGGTGTATCTGGCGAATGGCTTGGGCTGAGGCTTGGGCTTAGATTTAGGCTTACTGTAAAGTGTTTTTACTCAACTTGGAGTTTCGATTCGGGACCAAGTGCATCTTGTACAGAATTTTTCGCTGATTCCGAATATGTTTTCCAAATTTGCTACGGACCGTTATTTGAAATCATTTTTGGTAACAATTAGCCGCGAAAATGCCAAAAAATTCAGACGCTGTGGCTCACTATTCCTTGTTTGGGGCTATGGTCTCAGGGCCCTGAAGTACCCTCTGGCAGCACCCTAAACAGTGGGGACCATGGTGCATTGGCAAAGTACTGCTTGTTAAGCGCAGGGCGCGGTTCGAACCCCGGCCTGCATCATTTCTTTTTGCTTTTTTTTGCTTAAAAACTTCATTTCTTTATCTAAAATGCTTGTTTGAGCTGTAGGATGCTTGTCGAGCCAACGCTCAGTCAATTCGACGTTGAAATTAATGAAGAAAGTCGAAAACTATAACGATACCTTGATTTTGGTGAAAAAAATAGGGTCATAATTGCCGTATAACTTTCTTGGTAGAATAAAAGTCCGTAGCAAATTTGGAAAACATATTCGCAATCAGCGAAAAATTCTGCACAAGATGCGCTTGGTCCCGAATCGAAACTCCAAGTTGAGTAAAAACACTTTACAGTTAGGCTTCGGCTCAGGCTTGGCTTGGCTTGGGATTGGACGACCATAAATTTTAGCAAACTGATGGGTGCGGATACGCTTTCTAAAGGTGCTACGACACTGGTCGGCACGCCCCATTATTTGAGCCCGGAAATGGTAGGGAATTCGCTGCCTGTCTCTCTCCCCCCCCTCTCTCTCTCTCTCTCTCTCTCTCTCTCTCTTTCTGTCTCTCTCTTTCTGTCTCTCTCTCTTTCTCGCTATCGCGATCTGCTACCTGTCTCTCCCTCTCTCTTGCTTATCTCTCTCCCTCACTCTCTCTATTATCTCGCTTCTCCCTTCTCCCTCTCTCGCGCTCCCTCTCCCCCCCCTCTCACACGCTCACTCTCTCACCTCCCATTTCCAGTGTGAGGGCAAGCCGTACAACGAAAAGTCTGATATGTGGGCGATCGGGTGCATTTTGTACGAAACGATGTGCTTGGCCAAGGCATTCGATGCTGATTCGCTGCCCGCGCTTGTCAATAGGATTTGTAAGGTATGGAGGGTACCTTACAGATTGTTATACCTACTTTAGTCTCAATACGAACCAGTCCGGGGCCCGTATTCAAATGGAATGAAGCTGCTGGTGCGGGATTTGCTGTCACTGGAAGCTGTTTCACGGCCCAAAGCTAGTGCGGCGTTGCAGGTTCGTTTAGGCTTAGGCTTAGCCTTCGTTTAGGCTTAAGCTTAGGCTTAGCCTAGGCTTAGGCTTATCCTTCTTCCGCTTTCAGCGTCTAACCCGTGGTCGAGTTACCGTACCCTTCCGTCCAAAGTTGCGTGGCGGAAGCGCTAGGTCGACACTTTACCGCATGGACTTGTCGACGATGGGCTTGGAGCCGATTGATGGGCTGCCAGCAAAGACCCATATTAGACAGGTTTCCGGCTTAATGGACTTAGGCTTAGCCTTAGACTTCGGCTCCGATTTAGGCTTCGGCTTAGGCCTAGGCTTAAGCTTAGGCTCAAGCTTAACCTCATGCTCAGGCCCACCCTTTATCTAGGTCTCCCTCAGCTCGAACCATTTCCTGGCCGTGTGCTCGAGCGGTGAGGTCTACTCCTGGGGCGAGAACGGCATCGGGCAGCTCGGGCTTGGGGATACCGTAAGCAAAGGTCACGCTGGCCTGGTAACTGTAATTTTTCAGAAATACCGTAGCAGCCCAACGCGGATGGAGTCGTTGCGCGAGATGCGGATCCAGTGCGCGGCTGCTGGACGGGGTTTTTCGTAGGTGTTTCCGGTTTAAAGGGATGGTGACAGGAGCAAAAATATTGCGTCAAAAGATCTTTAAAATACGATGATTATATTTTTAGAATATTCTGCGCTGATCGGGGTACTGTATGGATGTGTGGAGAGGGTGGAATGTGTCAATCTGGCGAGGGATCCCGGCTCGTCTCACCTTGTATTCTCGACGCGTTATTTAGGTAGGTTGAACCGGTTTTCCTCAATGATCGCTGCTAGCCTGCCCTCGCTTCCCCAAAGATCTCTGCTAGCCTGCGCTCGCTTCCTAAATGATCTCTGCTAGCCAGCCCACGTTTCCTCAATGATCCCTGCTAGCCTGCCCTCGATTCCTCAAAAATCTCTGCTAGCCTTCCCTCTCCTTGTTCAATGATCTCTGCTATCCTGCCCAATTTCAGCACAAACGTCCTCGAAGTAGCCTGCGGAGATGAGCACGTGGTCGTGCTCTGTGAGGGTGGCGGTGTATGGGGCTGGGGGAAGGGCCATGGATGGACCCTGAAGCCGGCACAGGTAAGCTTTCAGCTTTCAAGGGACAGCCCCTAGCTTTATCCTATAAGTCGCTTCAAAACACTAGGGGACTGTAGAAAAAGTGGACTATAAATTTCTTTAAAAATTCAGCTTTAGATCGACATTCCCACTCCTTCAAGTGTGGTAGCAGTGCGCTGCGGACCAGATGCTAGTGCGCTTTTGACAGGTTTCAAAAAACCTTATTCGGTTAATTCCGAAACTTTCCAGTCGATGGCGCACTAATCGCCTGGGGCGCCAACCGGAACAACAAGTTGAATCTGGCGCAACGGCAGGGGTTCTTCTCGAGGAAGGCCAAGGCAAGTCGTGCTTACTTTGCGTTTGGTTTGGGCTTAGGCTTGGGCTTAGGTTTAGGCTTAGGCTTGGGCTTAGAGCGATCGCCGCATCTAGCGTCCGATAACTACTGTAACGTCCTGTAGCGCACTGTACTGTACTGAAACGTACTGAAGCGTACAGTAACGTACGGTGTACAGAACATCAAAATTCAGAACGCATTCGATTATATCGAGAAGCCGACAGTCGTCAAGGGATTTCCGGGACGTGTTGTGGATGTAACGATCGGAAGGCATCACACAGGAGGTGAGAGAGCGAGCGCGTGGGAGAGACAGAGAGAGAGAGAGAGAGAGAAAGAGTCCAAAAACCAAAACTTACAGTAATCCTCGACTCGGGCCATGTTCACCTGTTCGGTCGGAACGTTTGGGGAGAGCTGGGAATCGGCGGACTCGGCACCGTACCCCAACATGCTGCTCATTTTCCCGTCAAGGGACTCCTACAGAAGACCGTTCTGGTGAGCACCATCCTATTATCCAGAAAATTAATTAGTGTCAGAACCCATAAAGCTCTTTTTCTTTTTTTGCCTTCAGCGCTCCTTTAACGCAGTTTAAAGGGACGCTGAAGACCAAATCAAAAACGTTGCCTTTGTAGCACGTCGTCTGCGGGGAGGGCTACTCGCTAGCGGCCACCGCCGAGCAGGAATTGTTCTTCTGGGGGAGCAAGGGGATCAAGATTGAGGAAACAGCGAAGGAGGCCACGCCCACTCCACAAAAGTGAGCACGAGATTTTGGGGGGCATTTTGGATTGCTTAGGTGTGGTGAAAAGACTGGAATGCCTGTTCATCATCTGGTGCCACATCCATCGTTGGTATTACGGTAAGTGGGAGAGAGGGATAGAGAGTGCTAAAATATATAAACAGCGAAAGAGAGAGAGAGAGAGAGAGAGAGAGAGAGAGAGATAGGGCGAGAGAGAGAGAGAGGGAATCGAGGGTGCGAAAAAGCGAGAGACAGAGGCAGCGAGTAGTAAATGAGAGAATGGTAGAGAGAGCGAGAGAGATAACGAGAGAGACAGGGAGAGAGCGAGAGTGAGAGAGACAGAATGAAAGAGAAAGAGAGACAGAGAGTTAAAGGTTGTTGGAAAGCGATATTTCCAGAGAAAGGGGGAGAGAGAGGGAGAGAGAGAGAGACATAGATAGAGAGAGAGAGATACAAAAATCTAAAGAGTCATTTCCAGCTTGGACTCCTCCCCTTCGTCCGGTATCCGCATCAACATCTCCGGTCTAGTGGCTGATGGGCGGACAGCCCTCCTCCTTATCGATACCGTGGCCATTCGTGAAGCCCCTTCCTCTGCCCCGACCTCGTCAAGGTTTGTATGGGTTCCTTTTAGCCCCCCTAATTACAGCCTCCCGGAATAATCAGGGGGTTTCTTCAGGTATTCCAGGACCCCCAATCTCTGCCAATTTCTATTTTAAGACCAAAATTCTCGCCTGAAATACGCAACAATTCGTTTTCCAGCGCCCGCACCGTGCCGGCGCCGCGCCGAGTGTCCGCGGTGGCCAAGCAGAAGATCAGCTCCGACTCGGACCCGACGGCGGTGAGTTTGAGACAAGATGACCTCTGCTAGCCTGCCAAAAATTTACGAGGAAAAGCGCAAACGCCGGGCAAGCTTGCATAGATCTTGTATGAATTCTCAGGTTGCATTGGAA